ATGATTGCTTGAGCATGCCAGACATATTGTGAACAATGTTGAGATACTCTCACACAATGGTGGGAGTAATTGCCTTCAAATGCATAGCTGGATCCTTATTGAATGGCATAATAGGAGAAGAAGGCTTGAAAGACCCTGTTAAAGAACCCATCATGAACTGCGCATAAAAGGCTGAGGTCACATGGATGGCAGCAAGAGTTTTGCTGAACTCATGCTTTGCCAGCTCAATGGAGGAGGCAGAAATGCTTGACACATGAGCTGGCTTGACAGCAGCAGTGACAGACGTGATGGCTGCCTGGTTCTGATCAAAGCACATTCATCAAAAGGTGATGGAGCACACATGCTCAAGGAACTTCATGTCACAATGATCAACCATGAGGTCTTCCACACATCTCATTAGAAGAGCATTACATGCATTGAAGTGAGCCTGGGAATTTCTAGCAAACTCTGCCTGATCTGGAGCATTAACAATTCCTATCATCTTGGCATGCAGCTCAGCAGAAGAATGGATGGAGCCAGCAGCTTCAGATGCCATGTGGAAGGCAGCAAGATCAATACGAGTGAGCACAGAGGTGAGCCATAGATTGAACTTCAGGCATGAGTCGAATATGCCACATGGCAGAACCCTCATTGGCCACTCACATAATGGCACCACTTTCCTGTAATTATTTAATTGAATGAACTACGACCATTCTTAGATAGTTGTCATGGCAAAGTCCAGAACCATTACTGGTTCTGACAATATGTTCACATGTAGGTATCTGAGGTCTCATAGTAGCACAGTGTTAGCGGCCCTGCCCTACATGTACATAAGCACCTATGAGGAAGCTGGGTACCCCCAGTTTCACTCACCTATTTCATGTGGCCTAACAGGTCATCACTCCCCTTTTGTGTGACATAAGGCTATAGGTCCTTTGAGCCCCTTTTTGGCAGGCTGCATGTCACTGCATGCCTTTTGGTCTAGCCCTTTGTGCCAGGACCCTATATTTGATTAGTGCAGGTCACTGAGCATGGCTAGTACCTTGCAGCCACTTTCTTGCCTTTTGGCAAGATTTATGATGTGCTGTGACACCTCCCAAATTATCTCTGGGCTGAAGCCTTCCACATGAGTGAATATCTGAAGTCGCTAGTTCCATCCACACTTCAAGGGGGCCATACTCCTTACAAACGCTGATATGGTTGCCTACCCAACATTGCTCATTTACGCATCTTCAGTTCGAAAGCATGGGTGAAGGTTGCCGATGACCTATGCGCTAAATTGGACCCCAAGTCTTGTCAATGCTGTCTTGTCAGTTACATCGATGATGTCAACTATCATCTCTGGGATCTGACAGTAGGTACTCGAGAGGTGATTGTGCAGTCTCGTGATGTTATTTTTGAAGAAAGTGCACCTCACTGAACTGTGAATGATTTGGCCCTCGAGTGACCTCTACCACTGGTGACAGCTCCTGTGTCCTCACCAGCGATGCCGCAGCAGTTCATACCTTTGCCACCAGCATTGCCTCTGACACTCCCTGAGATGCAGCAACCTGTTCTGCTGCGGTGATCGGGTAGGACTCCAGTGAAAAGCTGTGCATTGTGAGAGTCGAAGGAGGCTGTTCAGTGTGAGGATGAAGCTCAGGCACAAGGGGAGTCCTGGGCTAATGATGCACCTCATGCCACTAAAGCATACATCACCTTTATTGTATCTTCTGACATGCCGGTCAATCCTGACGAATTTATCTATGAGGGAGGGCTGTGCCCTAGTACATTCAAGCAGGCCATGACTGCTGCCAATAGCTGGCAGCCTGTGATGGAGAAGGAGATGTCAGGCTTGTAAAAAATCAGAGCATGGATATTAGTCTCACAAAAGGCTAACATGAATGTTGTTGGATGCAAGTGGGCATTCACCAGAAGTTTAACAAGGGTGGCAAGTGGAAACCAAAGGCTCACCTCATCGCAAAAGGCTTTCATCAGATCGTGGAGATAGATTATTTCAAGACGCATGCTTCCATCATGCACTTTGAATCTCTCTGAGTTATTTGCACACTGGCTGCCTACTGAGAAATGAAGATGGGTCAGGATGACATGGAGAAGGCATACCTGAATGCCTCATTATCTGAGAACATCTTCATGGAGCAACCTCCAGGCTAAGAAGATACAGAGCATCCTGACTGGGTGTGCACTTTGGATTGGGTGCTCTATGGAGTCATGCAGTCTGAGAATGAGTGGTGAAAAGATCTGGACTCCACCTACTCTGATCTCAGGTTCTCGTGTTCTTTGGCGGATGAATGTGTGTGTGCTCCGATTGACAATGACGGACTCTCCATTATGGCCACCTACACTGACGATGTGATGTCAGCCTCCGATAATGTTGTTATGGTGCATCATAAATGGCTGCAAGGTGCTAGCCATGCTCAGTGACCTGCACTAATCAAATATAGGGTCCTGCCACAAAGGGCTAGATCAAAAGGCATGCAGTGACATGCAGCCTGCCAAAAAGGGGCTCAAAGGACCTATAACCTTATATCACACAAAAGGGGAGTGATGGCCTGTTAGGCCACATGAAATAGGTGAATGAAACTGGGGGTACCCAGCTTCCTCGTAGGTGCTTATATACATGTAGGGCAGGGCCCCTGGCACTGTGCTACTGTGAGGCCTCAGATACCTACATGTGAACATATTGCCAGAATCAGTAATGGTTCTGAACTTCACCATGACAACTATCTAAGAATGGCCGTGGTTCGTTCAATGAGATAATTGCTACAAAGTGGTGCCACTATTGAGTGGCCAATAGGATTTCTGCCATATAGCCTATTTGAATACTGATGCTACCATTTGGTAGCCATGTAGTTGGTGCTGCTTCCCACTGTGTGGCAGTCCTAATCCTTTAGGCTAAACCTTTAGTCAGTCATGTGACTGGATGGCTGAATCATGGGCACTTGGTGATCATGTGGTAGACACAGTCACATCCGCAATGTATGTGATGATATTGTGCTGTTTGTCCAAATATCCACTTTGTTAGACCAAATATAAAGGTTGGTGCTCAATTAACCACTTGTGGTTGCCAAATAAGGACTTAGTGATGTGAAAATAACATTGTCATGTCAAATACTGTAACCAATGCTTCAGGTCTTGCACCTATGTCAGTTATTGTAGATGATCTTTTCCACACTGATGTTGTGGATTTTACTAATTGACCATACACTAATGTCAACATGTATGTGTCATTTTCATCTTTTATTGAGATTATCTTTAGATTATTTTGGCTAATCTCAGTCACAAGTGTCTCTGTGTTACTTCATTGCAAGGATTATCTATGATTATTCATGATTATCCCCAATCTCACACAATATAAGCATCTTGGTGGCACACCCTTGCAAGGATCATCCAGGATTATCTCCATTACACTTGATGATGTACTTATCTCACACTGTCTAAGGGGCTTATTCAGGATTATCCCCAATCTCACATAACATAAGCATTTTGGTGGCATACTCCTGCATGGATTATCCAGAATTATACTTGACAGTGTACTTATCTTTCACACACTGTCTAAGGGGCTTATCCAGAATTATCTCCAATCTCATAATAACATAAGCATCTTGGTGGTGGCAGGCATATCAAAACCCTTATGCTCATAATTAAGATCCTGAGTGGCAAAGTATGAGAATGAATGGGACCGAATATAGTTTGATACACATTCTATGTGACCTCTTAATTATTAGAACATCATTATAAAGAGTAGCCTGCTGTCTCACAAAACAAACTGTACATTTTTGAGTGTGACATGGTGTGACAAATAAAAGGTGACATGGTCACAGATGCCATGCAGCACCCTCAATCACATTATTTTTTTAGGCATTCAACCGCTCTACCTACAGCATTTCCTAATTAATGCATATATCATGTGATGCAGTCAGTTCACAATTCACAAAGCACAAACCTATTTTTTTACAATTTTGAGTGCTTTTTCTGGCTTTTTTCATCTATGATGATGGCTCTCAGTCAAAAGTCACTCCGCACTCAATGCAAATGCATCTACCAGGCTAAATAGATAACCCTTCATGCACAGTGCATTCTACTTATCTACATGCACCCCCATCTACATTTCCACACCCAGCACCACAAGCTGGCACTTTGCGAGTCAACTTTAGCACACTTCCTCGACCCAATAGCCATCAACCAGCAGCTTCTGTATCCCACATCAGCGCCCACAGTTGATCCTCCTTGTTCTCACCCTACTGCCTCATCGCCTCACTCCATGCTGCCCAGTCCATCCATGCCCTGCCCCTCCACAACCTCTATGCCTCTGTTGACCTGCCCCAGTTCTCAACCCTTCAGCCTCCATGCTTTTCACATGATGAGAAAAGAGATGTGGAATTAAGCACAGCTATTGCTGGCTGCCGAGCTGATTCTCAGCTTATCTGAGCTTCATAGAACTGGACTCTACTGTCTCAGAGAGACAGATAGAAAGATGTGAACCAGCTCAGTTGCTACTCATCAGGCCAGTGGTTTTAATGACAGTGACGGTGGCAGCAGCGGCAGCAGCGGCAGTGGTAGCAGAGTTGCTCTGAACTCCAGGGAGTTGTTTTGATTCATGCACATCGGGCAGTGCAGTCCATACACATGGGATTTCCAGCATCATACGATGAAGGCATATTAGGGAGCGGACGGCGATCTGATCATTCGCACATGCAGACATTATGTACGTGAAATTAGCATACTACAATGATTCTGTAGAGTATATGAATGGTGAGAGTTACCTGACAATGGTGGTATAATTTCAGCAGTGAAACACATTGATCAGAACAGCTTGGCCCCTACTTATGACCAGCACATTTACTTTCAGCAGCTCTGGTACAAGAGATATATTAGTACAACCGTCTCATTGTAGAAACCGCATCAGCTCACCTAGCGGTGGGCATCCCTCATTTCGTTTTACATGTCGAAGGCTTCACAGTGACAGTCTTGGACCTTGTCTGATGAGGCGAAATGGTGGCGGCTGTGGTAGGAACTAATTAGATGATATTGTTGTAGAAATCGGTCGACTTCCCTCTGTTTACAGTATGCGCCATGGCCTTTGCTGCTTTCTCTATGGCCCTCATGCTATGTTTTGTCTTGAGCCATTGGGCAACTTTCTGAGCATCTGTGGATTAGATGAGTGAGCAAATCATCTCCATCATATCCTGACATGACCATCATATGCCATGACTCCAATCTGTCAGGTTCGACCACTTTGTGCACTACAAGCTCCTCTGTCCATGGTTGCATGAACCATACTGGAATACTGACCCGATATAGTGTTTGCACGGTGCTGGGATTGGGCATAAATGTGCCCCGGACTCACAGAGGAATGATCCTCCACTGCTGCGTGCTTTCAAGATGAGGGCCGACTTGCCCGACATAGATTGCATATCCAGCAATTTCCAATGCAAGACACTGCACATGCGCAGCAACTGTGATGGCAGTAGTGCATGCTGCCAGAAGCTCATGCAGAAGATTGATGACATGGCACAGCATGATACAGGTACGGTAACCCGCTTGCTTCTGATGTTCACGCTTGGCATCGCCATCGCCAACCCTTTCGAATTGACAGATCATGGATGCAGCACCCACAGAAAGCCTCTCCACGAGCTGTCACTTGAGATGTCCGAAGTGGGTGATTCCACAGCCAGGGTCCAGTTGCCAATCTGTGACACGCAATGCTTGGTAAAGCACAAACATCATTCCTGCATCAGTAGATGGCTCAGTTGGAATGCACATGTGATGAGGAGTCATCATGTTGAATGTTTAAGGCCAGCGAGTGTATTTTTGCTGACCACAATGCCCATCCATTCAGACGCTAAGGTGCGTGATGGCAGGAACAGGGTATTGAGGAATCCACTTCACATTTGAGGTGGTGATGATGACGTCATTGTGAGCCAACCATTTGGTCATAAGCAATGCGTGGTTCCATGCAGGTGGTGCTCCCCTGTCTGTCAGAGGACCTTCAGCCATGTTACCCAAGGTCAACAACTTTCGATCTCACTTATTAGATTTGGAGTCATGACGAGCTTCGAGCTGTTCCACTCCTCTGAATTCACTGCATTGAACATGACGATGCAGAGTTTGAATCTATCTTGCATTACAAAATGTGATACATGATTGCCTTCCAGCCATTGCACGATGAGCTATCTATGGCACAGTATGTAGAAATATGCAACAAGACAGGCTCAGTTGCGTGGTGCACGAAGTACCCAGATTGTGGATCAATGGAGTTGGGCTGTTCCACTGAATGGAGAACGTGCCTTGATGAGCATGCCGTCGGAAGAATGCAAGAACATCTAGCAGGACAATAGTTGCAAGTTAGCCAGAATCGATCAACTCTATCGCAGGAACGAAACACATGCTGAGGTCCAACGTACGCGATAGACTAGCGTAGGAGGCACGTGAACTATGATCAGAAAAAGGGCTAGAAATGAGAAACAGGAACAGGCAGAACTTATGACGATGGGTGACCGATGGTGTGCATTACAGACTAGTGTACAAAGCACGTAAACTATGATTAAGAAAACTGTGCTAGGAACGAGGAATGGGTGGGACTTACAACGGTGAGTGGCAGATGGCACACCCGACACGTTCTATGAGGATGACTAAGTTGATAGGCTGCATGAGATCGGATTTACAAGAGAACAGAGAGAGAGTGTGAGAGTAAAGCAGACTGAAGGACAGAGAGTTGCTGAGAGGTCTTAACGTCTGATAGGAACTGGGCAGTGAGAGACAAGTGTCTCTTACGCACATGGTTGCACAGCAGTGTTCGAGTGACTTATGCTGCTTGTTCATGCACCTGCGAGCTTGGGTGAGGTCAGGGTCAGGGCATTCGGGATGATTGTCGAGTTGGAGAGCACAGGCGTCATCATCGAGGATGATGGGGAGGGGCGACAGTGATGAGCAGAGATAATCTGCGATAATCGTGCATGCAGCTAAGGTTCAATCAGTGTTTGAACTTACAGCACGTTCTGAGTGTCTGTCTTTGGTATATTTCCAATGCCTGTGGCTAAGTGGTGACTTGAATTTCAGTGTACAACTATTTTTCCTGAGCTATATTTTAGAACATATGTCAAAACGGGATTTGTGATTGTCATAAATGCATTTGTAACTGTTCATTTATGTTATGACACTAACTGTTACCTAATCTCATTGTTGGGGAAATACAATTTCTCCATTAGGCTAGGTCGCTGTAGTTGCCTGCATGCAGTCATGCCACAGCATGCCACCCCACTGATCATCACTGTCACCCCCCCACCATCCTCGACAATGACACCTGTGCTCTCTGACCTGACAACTGCCCCAAATGCCCTGACCCTGACCTCATTCAAGCTCGCAGGTGCACGAATGAGCAGCATAAGCCACTCGAATGTCGCTGCGCAACTGTGTGCATGAGAGACACTTGTCTCTCACTGCCCGATTTCTATCAGATGTCAAGACCTCTCGGCAACTCTCTGTCCTTCAGTCTGCTTTACTCTCACCCTCTCTCTCTGTTCTCTTGTAAATCCAATCTCACACAGCCTATCAACTTAGTCGTTCTCATAGAACATGTCAGGTGTGCCATCTGCCACTCACCGTCGTAAGTCCCACCCATTCCTCGTTCCTAGCATGGTTATCTTAATCATAGTTTATATGCTTCATACGCTAGTCTGTAACGTACGCCATCGGTCACCCACCATCATAAGTCTCACCCATTCCTCATTTCCAGCACAGTTTTTTGATCATGGCATGCTCACTTCTTCAGATCGAACAAGGAATATGTCTTTGAATATGGGCCCTCCTCTCTCTGTACCAGAGCATCATTCATTGACCTCCAAACACTGCAGCAATGTGGTGAAGTGGTCAGTCGAGCAGTCATCCCCCAAATGCCACAAGACACGTTATTCGGACACCGAAGCAGAGGTTATAGCGCTTGCGAGTCAACTTCAATGCAGGATCATATCCTTAGCTGGCACATTTGCCTTGCTACAGAGACTACCTGCCAATACTACTGAGGCTGAAGCTGTCGTTGAAAATTGGAAGGTGGCGTTAGAGGATGCTATCGATCGAAAAAGGCCATTGAGCAGGGCAGAAAAGCAGATTTTGGATCTACATATAGACATCCTGGACAATTACATGCCAGCATTCGGTAAATCTCCTATCTTCTCTGAACGTCTCAGTTCTAATGCACTTGACAGAAATTCCACTTTCAATTGCGAATGACAAATTTGACAAGTTCTCCAATCTATACAAACAGCTATTGAAGTCCATCCCTCCATCATCGGACTTTTCCAGGGTGAGCGTGTGGCCAACCATACAAGTCCTCAATGCAGGCATCTTGTATCTCTGTCCTATCAACCACATGGGTATTCCCATATGCACCCTTCATCATGTTTTCTGCCGTTTCTTAGTCCGACATCGGAAACCTCTTCTGCCACCATCAGCCCTCCCTAGCACTGATGCAGATCTCACGACTCGCACCATCCGTGTCACCATATTATAGTGCGATGAAATGAGACAATCATTTCTCACCGAGAATAAATGCTCAGACAGTTTTGACAGCTGTATTGATGAGCTGTTCCCTTCCCCTGTGCATAACGTCCCTTTTAATCCACCTTCGGACATCTCTGATTGCCTGGTGGATGCAGTGTGGTTTGGACATGACCATGTGCTGGTCTGCCTGCATGAGGACAAGTGTGAGGTGAGTGATACTAGCTATGATGCTTACATGCAAGTAGCGAGCTCCTACTATTTTGCAGTCAAAAGCTTGCGACATGGTGAATTACCCATGTTGGTCCGTTACATGAAGTGAGGAGCACCGATGTTTCTCCTATGCATGTTAGGTATCGTGATGTCCACTGCATATCTTCACTGGCATGTCTTAAAGATCAACAAATAGGATATCATCTGTTCATATCGGGCAGCTTTTTAGATGGAGAGCAAACCATGGTGGAACCATTAGGTTTATCGTGTATCATGCTAGCAGACAGCACCGGCAATTGGCAGCGTGAGCTTGCACAATTGCTGTATGCACTTGCTCAAGGGTTCTCCGAGCTTTATGAGTATGTTGTCTGTTACATACCGCTGTGGAATAATGTTTAATTTCTTCCTCCTATAGCCTGATTGAGTTGTGAATTGAGCCACCATCATTCTCTGTTGGCATCCCTCGAATCTACCCATTCTGCAGGTTGTATGCTGAGGACATGAGTGAGAGCACCCTCACCTTCAAAACACGTCTTGACACTCCTGTTCATGGTCAATTGCTGTTCCTGGCGATGATGTCTTCGACTTTTGGGCCAGAAAACTTGCAGATTCCTGTGGTTGTCAAGCTTGTCAATGGTCCCTATGGTGAAGAAGTACATCAACTATTGGCTCGCCATGGCCTTGCACCTACCCTATATGGGTGTGCACATTTCAAATGCACTCCCACTGCTTACATCATGGAGCATTTGAATGGTGATTGGGTGATGCTGTTCGATTTCTTACAGCGCGAATTATCCCGTCCATTCTATCCCACTATCCGGCACTCATTGGAGGATGTTGTGGGGTTGCTCAAGAATGAGGGTTTCATCCACGGTGACTTTAGATCGAGCAATGTCATGGTGCAGATACACGAGGGGAATGCGCAAATCAAGGTCATTGATTTTGATTGGGCAGGTAAACCTGGTCAGATATCCTATTCTGCAGTGCATAACATCACCATTGGCTTTCCTGGCAAGCCTTATGATTCAATCAGAGCCGAAGATGATCTCACACTCCTTGATTCGTGGTGGGAGAAGGAATGTCTGACAAGCATTTGATCTTACTCTGCTGTTCACGTCATATTCTGTATGGACATCGATACGGTTTTCTGCTCATGGTGTAATATATCATCCAGTTCTTGCGCAACTCTGAGAAGACAGTGTATCCTTCAGAGACAACCCTGAGACTAAATGAAACTGGGCATCGATCCCAGTTAGTGAGATTTGGCTGGGGGTCTCAGCCACCTGCCACCCGCCCTAACGTGTCGATGCATTGGGCCAGTGCCTGTGATGCGGGCACCACACACCAAGCACTGGATCCAAATATTTATTCAATGTAGTGGGCAGAATAGGGCGGAGACTTCTAAGTCCTTCCATCGCTCACCACCATTGGCACCATCACCTTCTCCATCACCCTCTCCATCGCCCTCAACTTGACATCAAGACTGAGTGCTCCAGTGACTATAAGGTCATCATCGATGCTCCAAGTACAATGTGCTCCCACTGGCAGATGCTAGCGGTCGATGCCGTTGCTCCACTCTTTCATCACCTCCACTCTCACCTCAAGCCATTGATGTCATCGCCTTCTCCATTGCCCTTGCTCGACATCAAGACTGGTGCTCCGATGACTATAAGGTCATCATTGATGCCCCAAGTATGACGTGCTCCTGCTGGCAGATGCTAGTGGTCGACGCCATCGTTTCACTCCTTTCATCGCCTCCGCCTGCTACTGATGATTGCCCCAGCACCCAACCAGTCAGAAGGCTGCTGTTAGTGTTCCAAGGGTGCTGTCCTCCTACTGACAATACTAGCAGTCAATGCCGCCATTGTCTTGCTGGTTCTTTCATCTGTGCCTCAGCAATAGTCCTCTCTGATGGTGTCTTTTCGTGAATTTCAATCGGTCAGTTTGCTCTTCCATTGCATGCGTTCTCTCAAACTCTCGCATTCATGTCATTCAGAGCCATTGACCAGCCTGCATGGTCAATCACTGTGTTGTCTCTATGGGTACACATTACTATGCGGGTTTAGGAATGGCTCAATATGTGGGTGTTCATCCGCTGCTCTCATTGGGTTTAACCGTCCAGCTGCTCACTCGACGTTTTCCAGTAAATTGATCAAATATGTCAGTGAAAGCACTGCCACTCTTCGGCAAGGTGTGGTCCTGATAGGTAGGCACCCTCATCTCTATTTACCCACACGGAGTCAGATTTTCCATCAGTCTTTCAGGTATGAACCCAGCCGATTATGCAAGATAGGACAGATATGCATTTTCCCCCTCATGAGTACATGATATTCAGTGAGAGATTGCTGCTCTGTTCAACTTACGAGCCTTAGCAGGAAGATTGTGGTTGGAAGGCCATCCAGTGTTTGAAAGCAAAACCACAGCATGAAGCGTTGACCCAAGACCCCTTACATACATATCCACGAAATCCAGCCGGAGAGCTCCATTGTCTCAGATGCTGCTGCTGTCAACTCAGCTGGTCGCGTTCACATCTCTCAGTCGAATGTGATCTCTATGGAGTCACCCAGAAAGCGTAAGAGGACAATGAATGCTGACTTTGAAGCAAAATTGTCTTGCCAGAAAGCTACAACTGCAGATGAAGTGGAGCCTTCAACATTGAGTACAGGAGCGACCAGCTCATGAAGCGTCAAGGTACCTTCCTTTCTATGATGATCACGCTGCTCATTTATATTGAATTTGTAGAACGGCATATCCAGAGTACTAGAACAGTGGAAGCCACACTTTAATGCCATCCTAGATGATCTACTGAACGCTGAACGGATTGAGGGGGTGTCAGGACTTTGCGCATGCAGTGCAAAAGTGAGTGTCAGATGCCATGACTGCTTTTGCAGCCCCGCTCAGTGTCCCAGGTGCATCATGGAAGATCATTGCAACCAGCCGTTCCATTGGCTGGATGTCTGGAATGGAGAATACCTGGAAAAACACAATTTGTTGACATTCGGCTTCATTTTTCACCTAGGTCATCACGGGAAGCCATGTCCTCATCTTTCATCCAGCGCAGCGCCGGCAAATTTCATTGTGACTCATACAAATGGCATTCATCACACTCGCATTCACTGGTGCCATTGCCCCAATGCTAAGCCCATAATGTCACAACTATTGTAGGGAGGCCTTTTTCCAGCCACAGTCGACCATTCTGAGAGCGTGTTCACCATTGCACTCCTCAAGCAGTGGGACCTTCATTATCTTACATCAAAAAAGAGTGCTTATGACTTTGTGGTGGCACTGTGGTGCATGACGAGCAATTGTGCATCGCAAAAGGTCAAGGTGCGTGTTTCAGCGAAATGACAGGTATTTTACACTCAGCCCGACTCACAGAATCGATATCGTGAATTCAACATCATAGCGCACATATGGCAACACCTCATGATGGTCAAGAGAAGTGAAGATCATCATGGACTCATGCTCCTCAATTACCCGGCACATTCATTAACTGTGCCATGTTTCACTTATCCTTGGCCGAGCATGAACATGCCTCCAGATTGGCAGAAGACACCAGCACATCTTGCGTATGTATCCTCGATCTCAGGGTTGTTCATTCACTGAACTATCATAGTTACATTCATGCATGTGAATTGGGTGGAGATGGCAATCATGGTCTGCAGAAGAAACATAAATGCGATGATCCTAATGATGTAAGCCTTGCGCCCAGCCAGGGATACTTTGTTGATGCACACAAGATGAAAGATTACATGGAAGACATTCAGTCGGAGCCCCCTGTAGGTTATGTATATCTGTGACCTGTTTAGCAGACCTGATGTGCCATAGCCCGAGACCTGCAGCAGTTTCAAGGTTGGACGAGCTCAGCACCCTGGAAAGTTCTGCAATCTTGAGGTGAGTGGTGTTGTTGCCGTGATCTGCATTCATCACGGGTGTTTCCATCCTGGTGCCATGGTAGATTTGCAGAAGGGTGAGTGATATGTCGCATGTAACCTTTGCCTTAGAGTGATGTTGACATCTGCTTCAGCTATGAACACATGGACTTCACGCTGACTTGAAGGCCTGAAGGAGCTCTTACATTTCTTTTTCACTTATGACGTGATCTGCATCTACACGGTTAACCTGGAGACTCAGTTTAGCAAACATTTTCTGCATCTGCTTCCTCTACTGAAGGACATCCAATTCCTGCTACCCAAGTTGCACATGCTCACCCACAAAGAGATCTGCCAGATAGTATTCGCTCTCTGTTATTCATGGGGAGTGGGACTAACACATGGCAAGAGCGTCAAACATCCTTAGGCAGAACACAACCAGGCCAGGCTCAGCACATGTGAGATGAGTGCAGAGCATCATCACGATGTGCTCGATGTGATCCATAACTTTTGAAACTGATAAAAGGTTGAAACGAAAGGTAAGAGTCCGTCGCTATTTCCTGACTCTTTCTTGATGCTCTGCATGCAGCCGCCTTTCTTGCACACAAGCTTCATGAAGTGTTCAGTTTACAGGACTCCAAATCTGCTCTGTTTGATGCACTTAATACCATTGTGGGGCTGGCAATGGTGGTTCTCTGATCGGCGATGGACACGAAGTTAATGCGGCATGTGCATGGGGTAGGCCAGAATAAAAGGGTGCAAAAGATGAATAGCATGTACTTGTTGGACGAATCCAAAGGTGTGATCATGTATATCATATCTGGTGCGAAACCTCATACAGTGAGCAGTATCAAGTGCAGGCAAGGTCTTTCGAAAATTAGCACAATTGGAAGTTCAGCCCAAAGACTATGCGACTAATGCCATGGCAGGAAAAGCTCCTCACAGCACATCCCATTTTCTCTAGATAGGCTTGCAGCTCAAGAAACGACAGTGTGCACAGATCATCATTATCTGGATATAGCCAACACTTACAGTTTTCCAGGTATGACTTACACATCAAGGTCACCCAATTTGCAGATGCATATCTTGAAGACGACATCATTGCCAGTGTCAACGCTGAGTGACGCTCACTCCACCATGACCTTGACAAGTGGTGGAAGCAGCAGGTGCTGTTCATGCCCAAGGTCGAGTTTCCTGAGGTGGACGAAGTTGCAGCTGAGGATGACGATGAAGCAGACAAGCAACCGGAAAATGAACCATTGGCTCTCCCATCCGATTTCACAGTGGGCGAGCGTGTATCATTAGGTTTGAAAACAATCACAGTTTTTGAATGGCAGATCTGACTGGATCGGGCATATGACTTACTTGACATAGTAAAGGAGGCATTGAATCATCAAGGCACATTCCTTGAAGACAAGCAGAAGCATTCTCAGGGACAAAAGGATAACATGCACTCACAAAAGATGATTCGCAATGCCGCCAATCATGTCAAGTCAATTGCCATGTTCTACAATTACAACAGGAATCATCTACTTTGACTTAGCAATGATGAGGGCATCGACACGTTAAATGCTATAGACCTCAGTAAAGATTTGATCAGCAAGAACTGGAGGACACCTCAATCATTAGGGAATAGCAAGGAGGTCCATTCATGGATCTGGACAGTGGTGCCGCCCATGTCATCCCAGTGCAAAGCCAATATTTGGAATACTGAAGGTGAGTTATGGATCTGATGCCTGTAGCCATAGCTGACCTTTGTACAGTTCAGCGAGTGCAGTGGTTCCGTGCCCACACTGAAAAAGAGCACGTCGATGAAGAAGTCAACAAGCTACATGCTGAATTCCATCGTAAAATCTTGGGTTTCAACAATATGGGGCGCTGTGGGAAGCAGTTGGTGAGAAGGGTGGGTCTACAGATGGAGCCTGAGCATACGTGATGAAGAAGGCAGCTATGTTTCGGCGCATGGCTGTAGAGTGTGCAAAGATGTTCGCGGAGAGCAGGTGAGATTCAGATGGAGAGAAACTAGACTACAGTAAGGTGAGATCAGTGTTTTGTCGTGCTGACTTTGATTTCCTCTGACACAAACATAGCATTGATGTACATATGGAAATTATGAACAGCTGGGTCACCCATTCCTACCCCACACATCCTCGGGTGCTTTCCTAGATAACTGACCTTAACATCTTTTGCCCTTGACTCATGCACTGCCTAACCACCACCCTCTTCACCTGCTGCGGCATGGACAGGGACAAGGACAACGATAACTGCAAGCCCATACAGAACATTTGTGAGTACCATCAAGTCGACTGCTAGTCTTACATGATATCTGACTTTCCAGACACTCCCCACTAGCGGCTCCAGACTGCGAAGATCCTGGCACTATGCTAGCTGCCTTAAGTTATGAGTATGCAGAGCTTCTCATTGGATGTGGATGGAGAGTATGTGGCGGTGCAGGATGGCACGGATGCAGTGTCTGTGTTGATCTCGAGATTGACGAGCATGAATATCACCCCGAGGGAGGAGCACAAGGTTGGCTCGGTCAGTGAATCCACCTTTGTGGTGAATGTGAAACCTGGTGAAGAACACAGTGATGCTGATGTGAGTGGTTTTTTACTGGTTCGTATTTTGTGATGATTTATTCCTACTGATCAAAGTTTACTGACTACATGTGTTGGTGGGTCCATGATGTTCCCTTGAATGCCTCCTCAGCAGACCTGCAAGAGGCATTTGTGCCCACTAGTGATGTGAAGGGCATTTGGGTCCCCTTCCAAGAGTTCCACAGCATCATTATTTTTGTATATTACGATATCTGCCACGTGACCTGGGTGTGCAGTCTCATTGCTAACCAGGCAATACCCAGACTGGAGGACATGCATCTCACTGTGAAATATGTGAGCACTGAGCAAATCGAGAGGGTAGGTTCTTTTAAACCTTTCACGCTCCCTGGTCGGCTGATACGAGCGATATGTGCAGGTCATTGGGAAGTCAGTGTTTGTAGATGAGATGGACGGAACACTTTATGTGTCTGTTGCAGACCACCACTTCCAGTCTGCTGTGCTGCAGAATGTCTTGGCTTCCTTCAGCAAGCTGATGTTGCACAAGGCTGTTGACTTGCAGGAACAAGTGTGTATTCTTGGAAGCCATTAATTTGGATGCATACTCAACTTTTTTCCTATCTCAGAATTTCCAGATTGAGTACTATGATGCGCGTGATGCAGCCAATGGGTACCACGCTCTTCACGATCACACTTTCCTTGGTGTCCATCTTCCGCTGTTGACAAAGAAGGATGCATAGACGATTCAGTCCTTCCCATGCTCCTCGCTTGAGGATCCATTCCAGCCCAGCAGCCCAGCCAGTCTGACCACTCAGAGGCTGCTGATGTTGCATGTTTGCATGTGGATATGTGTCAAAACTTGCAGCAGCAGGCAGACAGGGAGTTGCATTGCACCAAAGGTATGTGTAGGATTGCCCACTGGACATGGACAGGTTGTCTCAATCGTTTCATGAATGTAGTTCATCCATGTAGTGTCAGTGCGAGGAAGAATATGGGTGTGCCTAATGCTGTTCATAGGATCTGGAGGGAAAGGGAGTCACCTCAAGAGCATAGCAGGCGAGTGTCGAATGACTTATTTTTCGACGCTGTTGGCAAGGTACGATCCTTCGAATGCTCATTTTTATAGTTCTGACCAAAGTGCCCAGTAGGTATTGTGTCACCTCAGACTTCTTCCTGATCAAGGAGCATCAGCATAGGCTCCGATGACATCGTGAAGGCTCAGCAGTCTAGTTATGATGATGCAGAGACATCTGAAGAGTACCAGACTCAGGAAACCACGTATGCTTCTAGCTATGGTGGTTTGTCAACCTCTGTGTACTCTCTGCAGAAGTACTTGTATGCGCAGGCCATGCCCCATGCTCAGTACCCAGCATATGGTTCTGATGGACACATGAGTACCAAGGGTCAATGAGCATTCAGTGCTCCGGCAGCACCAACGGTTGAGTACTATCTGCTCCCCTCCCCACGAGTATTGCACCATCACTCGCAGGCTCTTTCCTTGATGCCGAAGAAGGGCTTCTCTTCAATGTATCAACATCAAGATGAGCAGATGGAATGGGGTCCCACTGAGGAGGACCCATTTGGGAGGTCAGCTTATAGTCCTGATGCACCTGTCCCCCAGTCGGCCACTTCGTACGGCAGCTCCTTGGAGCCCTCGCTGACTATCGGTGGTCACACATACTCAAGCAGATGTGAAAATGCAGATTCAGGCATTGTGGAGAAGAACCAGCTGAATATTGAGGCGATCGAGCAGGGGAAGGACATGCGGACGACGGTGATGATCAAGAACATGCTGAACAAGATGAGCAACAAGGAATTGAAGGCATTCATCGAAAAAGTGTGCCCGTGGTGGATCGACTTTTCGTACTTGCAGATGGACTTCAAGAATGGTGAGTCGGCTTTGCTGGTGTGAGTGATTTGGAGTGCTGATAAAGGTGCCTTCTCGCTATGTCCCGTTCACCATTTATATTCTCGCTTCCCTTACAAGCTCTCGTCGATCTCTACTGTATTCAAAATGGACTCGTCCATAGCCACCATCCATTTCTGCCTGATGTGCATCGAAGCTATAGCTAGTGTCTGCTTAGTGCTGCAGTTATCTTCTCTGCTCATTTACTCATACTGACTGCATGGTGTCATTGCATAGCCCAACAAAACCACCCACTTTTCATGCCATCTTCCCAATCTTCAGCTTGCCACCTCCAATTGTGGTGATGTTCCTCAGCGAGATTGATGTAGAAGAAGTCGCATGATTGGCAAAGTAAGATGAGCTGATGCCTTCACTATCCATATGTCTCATTCTGCCTGAGTCCACAGATATCAGATGATGTCACGTTTAGAATATCTGATGTGTTGCGACATCTCCATCGGCATCCAGTCCACCACTGAGCAGGTCTCTCGTGTGTCCAGAAATGGCCCACCACAACCCTCAAGCAACACTTGGTCAGCGAAGGCCACATTGGCCATGAGGAACTTCAGCTGGTGGCTCATCGGTGATCGTGTGACCGTTTACGCATCGATGCAGCCACTGACGATTATCCTGATTGCATTCGTGGTCCTGGCATACATCATACTGACTGGGCTGTTCTTCATGAGGCATGGCCACAGGAATAGTGAGGACCATCTGTGCATCTGTGTGGATATGGCTGGGTGTCTTTTCTTTACCTTGGCTACTTTATGATAATTATCTTGGATGAGCTTAGGAAGAGCAAAAGAGTCTGTCCTTAAATGGTTTAATGATTTTCTTATTTAAGCTGGTTCATATGCTTAGCAAGAATGACTCAATGTTGGTCTCATGATTCTTCACTATGAGAAGGAATTCCATGATTATCTCTAGATAAATGTAAAATCAGCATGTGCAATAGCAGGATTATCCATGATTATCTGTGGATAAATGCAGGATCAACATGTGCAATGGCAGGATTATCCATGATTATCTGTGGATAAATGCAGGATCAACATATGCAATGGAAGGATTAATCTAAATGCAGTAGGATTATCAAGGATAATCATCTGATTAGTGACTGGATAAACAATATGAGCCAGAATATTGTATAGGTGATAATCCTTTTAGGCAACATTATTGTGCAACTGATTATCCTCTATAACTGACATCACTGGGTCTTGCAGTTACATGTGGGGATTTGGCGGCATGGTACAAGCTCAGTGGAGGTGGAGAGTTGAAGTACATGCTTGAGGTGGTGATTGAACATGATCGGGCTAATGGTACCTTGTGACTTACTCAGGAAGCATACGTGCAACGTGTGCTGGCACGTTTCAATATGCAGGACTCGAACCCCATGGCCACATCATTGGAACTGGGTATGAAACTCACTAAAGCATCCACACAGGTGATGCTGGATGAGGCACTCACGATGGTGACTGTGCCTTACTGTGAGGCACTTAGTGTCATTATGTATCTGTCAGTCACCACTCAACCAGACCTGGCCTATCCCGTGCAGTTACTGAGTCACTACATGGCCAACCCTGGGATCGTTCACTGATGTGCACTGAAGCGGGTTCTTTGATACATCAAAGGGACCATCGATTATGGCATTATCTACTACAGTTCAGACCATGCACGTGCCACCCTCCAGCCTCTGATTTACTCTGACTTATCTTATTCCGACTGCACAGACATGGGACATTCGACGCAGGAGCACATCATGGTGATGGTCGGCGGTTCTGTTACATGGAGCTCCTGTCACCAGAATGTGGTCACCCTATCCACTACTGAGGCAGAGTATATTGTGGCAGTGCATGTGGGGCAGATGGCGATGTGGATCGAGAAATTGATGGGTGATATATATGTCCCTATTTCTCTCTCTGTCAGCCTCAGAATGAATAATACGAGTGGCGAGAGCCTGGCGAAATGCTCTGCCAACTTCACTCGGGTCTGGCACCTCAACATTCGATACCACTGGCTTTGTGAAGCGGTGTCACGGCATGTCGATGACAAAGATAGACAACCCAAAATAAGAGTCCCCTTGAGGGTCTCTGGGTAAAGGTCTACAGCAATGAGCTGTGACAATATGACATGCCCACTGACGAGGCTGACTTGCTGTCTGCAAGGTGAGACTTACTGGTGAGACAAGTGGCGCGATCACAGATATGAGAGTGAATGCAAATGTATAGCACACTGAGAGTGTCTGGTAAGACCCCTCTGTGATGGTAGTGGTAGATGAAGGAGAATAAGACTGAGGGTCTCTCCTTGTCTCACTGATCCCTATATACATGATTGTCTAGCTACTGTATAGTACTACATAAGCGAGTCACACGCTATTCTACTGGACATGCTACAATCGTACGACTTGTCTCAATTATCCTGATTGGTTGACCTAACAATAACTCACAGAGATGGAGCTCCTCTTTGAGCATGCAATATGGCGTCTGTCACAGTTTTTACCTGACAAGTCATTATAGGAACGAATGCTATTAGAAGCATATTATTTTCATCATTTCGCGTCGAACAAGAAGTCACGTGACCTAATGAGAGATAAGATAAAAGGCATCTAGTCACATGACCTCGAATCTCTCTCGGCATTGTCACGTGACACCAAACTCCTCGGCATGGTGTCATATGTCGCAATCGCCATGACGCCATATTGCGTGCTCAAGAGGAGCTCCGTCTCCGTGAGCTATTATTAGGCAGCCAATCAGGATAATTGGGACATGTCGTACGATTGTAGCACTGACCAGTAGAGTAGCGTGTGACTCACTTACATAGTACTGTATAGTAGCTAGGCAATCATGTATATAAGGACCAGCGAGACAAGGAGGAGACCTCAGTCTTATTCTCCTTCGTCCACCACTACCATCACAGAGGGGTCTTACCAGACACTCTCAGTGTGCTATACATTCTATTGCATTCTCACTTGTGTGATAGCGCCTCTAGCCTCATCAGTAAGTCTTGCTCTGCGACCAGCTACCAGGCCTCGTTAGTGGGCACGTCGTATCGCCACAGCTCGTCGCTGTAGGCTCTTAGCCAGGGGGCCCTCAAGGGGACCCTATTTTTGGTTGTCTATCTTTGTCATTGGCATGCCGTGACATTAGAATAAGACTGACCTTTTACGCCCCTACCAAGTGTCTAACACTGTTAGCCGCGCATTTTCACCCAGAGATACATCTGCCCTGGGCAGGGCTTTTTTCACACCACTTCCTTCATACCACTCCACGTCGCCTCTACCGCCTAAGCCGCTTCCTTCCTTCAAAAGGAACAGCGCTGCATCAACCGGTAAAGCGCCTCAAGTACACAACGGGATCGTTCTGCCCAACGGACGTTATCACCCTTACAGTCGTGACCCCAGACGCACTCATCGTCTAACAGCAAGCAACCTACTCATTGCAAAGCCCAACGACCCTCGCTCAGACCTACAGAAACTTCACTCTAAGGTCAGCTCGTGGGCCGAAGCAATTCCCAGAGACGCATCTGACCCATCCGTCCCCATTTACAAACCTTACTGGTGGTCTAACGATGACGCCACTGCCGTACTCGCTTTCGCCCTCTCTCAGGACTATCACCCTCGTGGAATCCACGAAAATCCCAAAGGAACACTTCCCAAGAACATTGCGCCGACTGTATACGCTACTATTCAGCATTACAAAGTCTTGCAGCAGCCCCACATCACTGCCAAATTCACAGAAGCACAGATTCAGTGTCGCGATTGCATTCTGCGACATCTAGGAGCACTAAACAAGAGGATTGGATGAGGTGACGACTTCACGTTCATCGATAGATGCATCGCTATCAAGCTTTGTGTGGGACTAGGGAAGATTTCGTTCAGAGGAATCAATAAGGAGCAGGAACGCGTGAGGAGAGACATTGTGAGGTTTGAGAAGGAGTCGTGCTACTGGCCCTACTAGGATCAGTAAACATCTTTGTACTACTGTATCAGCAGTTTCATGCCCCGGTATCAAGTCAGTTTTATATTCAGAAACTACGTGGTCGAGCACTACATCACCGACCTCTATCATTATCTGGTGTGCACGGGGTACTTCATCTATCAACCCCTACTATCAGAGCGATCCATTCCGCTTTATCATTACCCGGTTGACATCGAACGTCGAGTCACCCTGCACACACCTTTCTGACTCATTGAAACAGACATCGAGATAATCGATCCAGTCCACGAGTGGATAGAAAACGCTTACTGGGAACGTCTTGCTCGGTTGTATCAAGAAGACAAAGAACTCTTCTGGACAAACTGGTACAGAGACTTTCCAAAACAAAGACACCCTCGCCCAACAAGGCTAGAAGAAGCTGCAGCACGAAGGAATCGTGTCATCGAACTAGCACAATTACCGGGAGCCAATAATCAGCTCCAGTAAAAGCTCACCATTTTGAACACACTCTCCGTCACCTCTTTCCCACTATCTTCAACATCGATTCCCATGTCTCAGTATAACCTTAGAGGCATTGCGTTCCCAGGAGGACACACCACAAGTGAACCGACGGACCCCTGGAGGAGTAATGCCCCTTCTACACCATCGGAAGCAGGACCAGCTGCCCCTGCAGATGAACCCCATACTAGCAGCACGTCCAAGGCGTCGGGAGTAGTCAGAAACCCGTCGCCCACCGCCCTGCCAGAATTCACAACACCTCAGACCTGAGAATGGCAGGGAATCCCTTACGCAACAATCGAGGAAGCCGCAGACGCCGCTGCACCCAACACCATCCCAAACAACGTCAAGGAATGGACAATGAATGTGGTGTGAGCGTTCATCATGAGAGATGTCATAAGCTCGTATGAAGCATTACGTCAAAAAATGGATGAACGTCATGAGCGCATGGTGGCCTCATTGGAAGAAGAGATCCTGGCCCGCATCCACGTCGAAATAATGGTGGTGGAAATGTGAGACCAGCTAAGGACTGCAAGAGCCCAGATCGGCACCCTCTCTGCTGACAACGAATGGCTCATCAAGTCAAATAACAGTCTGACAGCTGAAGCCCAAGCAATCTGCAAGAACTTCGAGGATTACAAGGATGAAGTAAAGGGCCAGATGGATGCCGTTTACGGCAACATGGTTGTCCTGAAGGAGGCACAAGAGAAGACCACTACCTACATCGTTGGCTTAGAGTCTCGACTCAATAATGCCATTATCAACGTGCCTCCCCAAGGTATCCAACAACCGGCCAACCAATCCAGCCAATCGCCTCGCCGAATTAAGCTCCCCAATCCACCCAAATACTCGGGAAGGAAATCATCGGAAAATTTCGAGACTTGGTTCATGAACCTCCTCATCTGGCTCGATTACAACCACTTCACCGATGACAAGGACAAATGATGACAAGGACAAAATTCGGCAGGCCAACGCACATCTAGAAGGCGGAGCAGCTCTATACATGAAAGAGTATGCAATCAAGCTCGCCTCCAGACAAGATGTTGGCACATGGGCAGAATACACCAGGAAACTGGAGATGGCATACAAGACACTTGACCCCAAGCACACAGCACAATCGTTGCTAGATGCACACTGCGCAATCCGCCACAAGACGATGATTGCCTTCGCGGAGAATTTCAGGGCCTACACCCCCAAATCAGGATACTTCGATGAAGATTTAATTGTCAAAATCAGGGAGCAGCAGTCGGCCCACATTCAGACGGTCATGTCAGTCACGGAGACTTTAGATCCCTTCAAGATCCCAACCACTTGGATGGACTACCTTGAATTCTGCCTAGAGGTTGAAATCAAACATCTCCAGCAGATTTCGGGCAACAAGTCTACCGGACAAACTATGGCAACCAAGGCGACTGCTCCTAGGGACCCTAACGCAATGGACACCAGCACACGAATCGCCCACGAACTTTTCCCAGAACAAGACAGGTGGCTGGCAAACAAGCTATGCTTGTTTTGCAGAAAGCATGCCTACGAATGAGGAAAGCGGTGCCCTTCCCCCAAGCCAGAGTATAAGGGAAAGCAGTTTCAAACCCAATCTACCCCATGGCAGGACAAGGGAAAGGGCAAAGTGACTAAGGTGCGGCAGGTGGAAGAAGAAGGTAGCTCGGACACATCACCTCAAATTGCGGCATTGGAGCAAGCAATTGCTGCACTTCACGGGATGAGCACCACTTCGAATACTCCACCGTCCAGCAAAGGCAAAGGCAAGGTGAAAAGCTCGGACACAGCATCAATAGCATCGACATCTACAGTCAAGGACACCAATGCGGGAATCGTCGAGATAGACAATTTTTCAGAGGATTTTCAGTACGAAGTGTAGACGAGTCTGGTGTCACACTTCAGGACGATTGTATTAGTACCGTGAAAATGAATGTACCTAGCGACTATCTATATATTGCATCTGCAGGTTTTTCTAAACATTCAATCGAATTGCCAATAAGATTCGTATCACGGGAAATCCAGACGACAGCACTATTGGATTCTGGAGCATTCTCTTGCTATATCGACCAAAGATTCGCTGAGAAGCATGGGTTTAAGATGATACCTCTAAACCATGAAATCTGAATCCTCAACGCAGACGCCAGCCCCAACAAGGGTGGTGCGATTACTCATCGTGTAGTCACAAGCATCTTAATCGGGGGGCACCGATCAACCGAGAGTTTGCTCATCACTAACCTTGGACGCATGTCAATGATCCTTGGCATGAAATTTCTATAAGAACACAACCTCCGAGTTGACTGTGAACACAGAGAGGTCACGTTCTCAAGATGCAGACACACGAGGAAGCAATGAGTCAAAGTATGTGAGGAAGAAGTCAACCTTCTATCGCAACCTCGACTCGAGGATGAAGCAATTCTTTCCGACATACACATGGATGACGGGTGAGATCAGGAAGATGACTTCATCAACTGGATAGACTTGCAAGATCAGGATCTTTGTAACATGGTGCACGACATCCTAGGTATAAGCAAGAAGGTAAAGGAGCATTTGGTAGAACAGCCGGCAGAAGAGACACAGGACAAAGAATATTGCTCCAAGTTCGTCCCTCCAGAATTTCATCAATTTGGGGATGTGTTCTCGAAGAAGAGCTCAGAAAGAATGCCGACGCGTAAGCCCTACGATCACGCAATTGATCTTGTCCCAGACACGGCAACCCCAAGGCCGGCAAAAGTATACCCTATGTCTTTACGAGAGAAGGACTCGCTCGATGAATGGATTGACAGCGAACAAGCCAAGGGCTGCATTCGACCATCTAAATCCCCTTATGCCGCTCCGGTATTTTTCGTCAAAAAGAAGGATGGCTCTCTTAGACTAGTCCAAGACTACAGGGCGTTAAACAGCGTCACCAAGAAGAACAAATTCCCACTCCCCCGAATCAACGATCTCATTGACGGACTCTCAAGGGCTAGTATATTTACTACACTAGACCTGAGATGGGGGGACAACAATGTATGCATTCACAAGGGAGATGAAGAAAAAGCAGCGTTCATTACCCATAGAAGGTTATTTGAACCCACTGTAATGTACTTTGGATTCTGTAATGCTCCTAGCACTTTCCAGGCCATGATGAATGACGTCCTAGGTGATCTCATCTGCACTGGAAAGGTGGCAGTCTATATAGATGACATCATCATCTTTACGGATAACCAGGAGGAACACGACCGTCTGACCAAAGAGGTTCTACAACGACTCCAAGACAATGACCTGTTCGTGAAACCAGAAAAGTGTCACTTTGCGACCACTTTCGTCAAGTTTCTCGGACTCATAATCTCCAAAGGGTCGATACAGATGGACTCAGAGAAGGTCGACGGCGTGCTCAAATGGCCGGTGCCCACCAAGGTAAAGCAAGTACAAGCATTCCTTGGTCTGGCAAATTTTTATCGACAATTCATCAAGGATTTTGGATCGATGACCCGACCCTTGACTCTATTAACACGTAAGGACACACCATGGAAATGAGAAGACCCTCAACAAAAGGCATTCGAGGCCCTCAAAACTGCATTCACTTCCGCCCCAATCTTAGCACTCCCCAACGCAATCCGTCCCTTTAGACTAGAGACAGATGCCTCGGACTTTGCCACAGGTGCAGTCCTTGAACAGTTGGGAGAAGATGAACTCTGGCATCCTGTCGCTTATTATTCCAAGTCACTCAATGAACACGAGCGCAACTATGAGATTTACGACAAGGAAATGCTAGCTATCATTCGGGCATTGGAAGAATATAGGCAATACTTTGAAGGACACCCGCACCCGGTTGAGATATGGTCGGATCATCTTAATCTTACCTATTTCTGACAAGCTCAGACACTGACCAGATGACAAGCTCGATGGTCACTTTACCTTACATGATTTAACTTTATTTTCCATCACCACCCCGGAAAGACGATGATGTGTGCCAATCCTCTGTTCAGGAGGCCAGATCATGAGAAGGGGGTGAGCAATGACAATTCAGGGCAAACTTTGCTTCGACCCGAATACTTTGCCATCCATGCGATCTCAGCCACTCATTCCTCCGAAGTTGACGATGCAAAACTTCTAGAAAGAGTGAAATTGGCACTGCAAGATGACGAAATGACCAAAGGTTACCAGCACCTACTAAAAACTGGCAAGCGAGAGTTCGGAAAAGACCTCCAAGAGTGGAACTTCGAGCATGGATTGTTGCTCAGAAGAGGAAAGATCTACGTTCCAAAGGACTCTATGCTGCGGAATGAGCTGATCAAGCTACACCATGACATCTCCACGGCCGGACACCCCGGATGATGGAAGACGCAAGAACTGATTAGCAGGAATTATTGGTGGCCAGGGCTCACCATTGATGTTAAGAAGTACGTCCAAGGCTGCGTAACCTGTCAAAGAAACAAGACGAGCAAGCAGAAGCCTTACGGACTACTTCAACCTAACCCAGTATAGAAGGGCCTTGGAAAATGGTTACCTGTGACCTGATTACACAGCTACCACCAAGCCCAGACCACAGGGGGGAAAAGAAGACTGCTATTTTGGTAGTCATCGACAGATTCACCAAACATGCACACTTCTACCCAGTAGACGACATGGTGACAGCATCTCAAGTAGCATCAATTTTCTATACTGAAGTATTCAAACTCCACAGAATTCCCCGGCAGATCATATCCGATAGAGGCACACAGTTCTCAGCCAAACCATTCCAGGAGTTCTGCCAGAAACTTCACATTAAATCTACGATGTCTACAGCTTATCACCCTGAAACGGATGGACAGACCGAACGAGTCAATCAGATTCTGGAGCAGTATTTGCGCATGTACTGCAATTACCGGCAAACTGACTGGGCTATACTATTGCCGACAGCGGAATTCGCCTACAACAATCAAGCTTCAGAATCAACTGGTCTGTCCCCGTTCTTCATCGAGCATGGTCGACACCCCCGCATGACACCAGATGTACTGGAAGGGATACAACACCCATACCTGGAACACCTATTCCACAACTGCGATCAAGCACAGGAACAAGCTCGTGCCGCCTTGTTATTAGCAGCAGAAAAAATGAAATGGTACTTCGACCTTAAAAAGCAGGATGTCCCTTTCAAAGTAGGAGACGAAGTGCTTATTCGAGGAAAAGACCTCCACATCAAAGTCAAAAGCCAAAAGCTAGCGACTCAAAACTATGGGCCATTCAAGATCCTCGAAAAGATCAGAATCGTATCATTCAAACTGCAACTACCAGCGGACATGAAGATACATCCCGTGTTTCATGCTTCTAAGCTTATAATGTTCCATCAAGACTCTATCCCTGGACGCGTACCTCCCCCTAACCCCCCAGTCATCATTGACGGAGAGGAAGAATGAGATGTAGAGGACATCCTGGACTCAAGAGTCAGGTATAACAAAACCCAGTATCTCATGAAATGGTTGGACTATGACCACAGCGATAATACTTGGGAACCATTGGAAAACCTCACAAACGTCAAAGACAAAATAGAGGAATTCCACAAGACACACCCAGATGCTCCAAAAGCAAAGCCGCGAACACACAAAGCACACAAAATTGCTCTGTCCAACCACCCTGATTAATTCATGTTCTTCTTCCGCACCCATCCCAATGCCCGAGCACCCTACAAGGGTTCTGCAGAAGCTGTTGGCTGGGATGTCAAGTCCATACAAGACATAGATATCCCCCCACACTCCAGAATGCTCATTGGCACAGGACTCGCAGTTGATCCCCCAAAGTGGACATACATTCAAGTGGCCCCCCGAAGTGGGCTAGCCCTCAAAGGAATTGATGTCGCAGCAGGGGTAATTGACCCAGATTACACAGGGGAAATCAAGGTGCTTCTCGTTAATATGACCAGCAAACCATTCGAGGTCAGGACAGGCGATTGTGTCGCACAACTCATATGCGAACGTTATGCTCCAGGAATCATTTCTGAAGCAGATAGTTCACTCGCAAAGCAAACCATACGAGGCGCCAAAGGCTTTGGCTCATCGGGACGATAAACCTTGAGAAGGGGGTGATGTCACGGTTTTTACCTGACAAGTCATTATGGGAACGAATGCTATTAGAAGCATATTATTTTCATCATTTCGTGTCGAACAAGAAGTCACGTGACCTAATGAGAGATAAGATAAAAGGCATCTAGTCACATGACCTCGGATCTCTCTCAGCATTGTCACATGACACTGAGCTCCTCAGCATAGGTCACAATCGCCATGGCACCATATTGCATGCTCAAAGAGGAGCTTCGTCTCTGTGAGTTATTGTTAGGCTGACCAATCAGGATAATTGGGACATGTCGTATGATTGTAGCACGTCTAGTAGAATAGCATGTGACTCGCTTATGTAGTACTGTACAGTAGCTAGGCAATCATGTATATAAGGACCAGCGAGACGAGGAGACCTCAGTCTTATTCTCCTTCGTCCACCACTACCATCACAGAGGGGTCTTACCAGACACTCTCAGTGTGCTATACATTCTATTGCATTCTCACTTGTGTGATAGCGCCTCTAGCCTCACCAGTAAGTCTTGCTCTGCGACCAGCTACCAGGCCTCGTTAGTGGGCATGTCGTATCACCACAGCTCATCGCTGTAGGCTCTTAGCCAGGGGGCCCTCAAGGAGACCCTATTTTTGGTTGTCTATCTTTGTCATCGGCGTGCCGTGACAGCGTCATGGCGATTGCAACCTATGATGCAATGCCGAGGAGCTCAGTGTTGTGTGACTATGCCGAGAGAGATCTGAGGTCATGTGACTAGATGATCGGTTATCTTATCTTCCATTAGGTCACGTGACTTTGTGCCACTTGAAATGATAAAAAAATAATACATTCCAATATGTATGTTCCTTTTATTGACTTGTCAGGTAAAACCATGACATCACCCCCTTCTCAAGGTTCATCGTCCTGATGAGCCAAAGCCTTTGGCACCTCATTGTGTCCTTTGGGCCACTGAACTGTCGTCCTCCAAAATGACTCCAGGGGCGTACCGTGCGCATATGAGTTGTGCAACACAATCACCTGTTTTTACTGTAAAAGGTTCTGTTGTTGTGTTGACCAAGAGAACCTTTATTTCCCCTGTGTAGTCTGAATCAATTACCCCTGCGATGACATTAATTCCTTTGAGAGCTAGCCCACTTTGGGGTGCTACTCGAATATAAGTCCATTTTGGGGGATCTACTGCTAGCCCTGTGCCTACCAGCATTCTGGATTGTGGTGGAATTTGCAGATCCTGCATAGATTTAACATCCCAGCCAACAGCACCAGAAGATCCTTTATAGGGTGCTCATGCATTGAGGTGTGTGCGATAGAAGATCATGAATTCATCAGGGTGGTCAGTCATGGCAATTTTGTGTCCTTTGCGCGTTCACGGCTTTGCTCGTGAAGCATCTGGGTGTGTCTTGTGGAATTCTTCTACCTTGTCTTTGATGTTGGTGAGGTTATTCAATGGTTCCCAAGTATTGTCGCTGTGGTCGTAGTCTAGCCATTTTATGAGATACTGGGTTTTATTGTACCTGACTCTGGAATCTAGGATCGTTTCCACATCCCATTCCTCTTCTCCATCTATGATGATTGGTGGCATGGAAGGGGGTTTACATCCCGGAATGGAGTCTTGATGGAACATTACTAGTTTGGAAGCATGAAATACAGGGTGTATCTTCATGTCCGCTGGTAGTTGCAGTTTGAATGATACGGCTCCGATCTTTTCGAGGATTTTGAATGGTCCATAGTTTTGAGTCACCAGCTTTTGGCTTTTAACTTTAACATGGAGATCTTTTCCTCGAATGAGCACTTCATCTCCTACTTTGAAAGGGACATTCTGCTTCTTGAGATCGAAGTACCATTTCATCATTTCTGCTGCTAACGACAAAGTGGCATGAGCTTGTTCCTATGCTTGATCATGGTTATGGAACAAGTGTTCCAGGGATGGATGTTGTACTCCTTCCAATATATGTGGTGCCATTCAGGGGTGTTGACCATGCTCAATGAAAAATGGAGATAAACCTGTTGATTCTGAAGCTTGATTGTTCTATGCAAATTTTGCTGTGGGCAGTAGCATGGCCCAGTCAGTTTGTTGGTAATTGCAGTACATGCATAGATATTGTTCCAGAATTTGGTTAACTCGTTCGGTTTGTCCATCCGTTTCAGGGTGGTAAGCTGTTGACATTATCGATCTGACGTGAAGTTTCTGGCAGAATTCTTGAATAGTTTGGCTGAGAATTGTGTTCCTCGATCAGATATGATCTGCCTAGGTATTCCATGAAGTTTGAATACTTCATTGTAGAAAATTGATGCCACTTGAGACACAGTCACAGTGTCATCCACTGGATAGAAGTGAGCGTGTTTGGTGAATGTGTCAATGACAACTAGTATGGCTGTTTTCTTTTCTCCTCTATGGTCTGGGCTTGGGGGTAGCTGAGTGATTAAATCACAGGTGATAACTTCTCAAGATCCTTCTGGTATTGGATTAGGCTGTAACAGTCCATAAGGTTTCTGTTTCATTAACTTGTTTCATTGACAAGTGACGCAACCTTGGATGTATTCTTTAACATCAATGGCAAGCCCTGGCCACCAATAATTCCTACTGATCAATTCTTGCATTTTTCATTGGCCTGGGTGTCCCGCCGTTGAAATATCATGATGTAGTTTGATCAGCTTGTACTGTAGCTTAGAGTTCTTTGGAAAGTAGACCTTTCCTCTTCTGAGCAGCAATCCATGCTCGAAGTTCCACTCCTGGAGGTCTTTTCTGAACTCTCACTTGCCAGTTTTTAGTAAGTGCTGGTAACCTTTGATCATTTCATCATCTTGTAGTGCTGCCTTCACTCTTTCTAGAAGTTGAGCATCATCAACTTCGAAGGAATGAGTGGCTGAGATCGCATGGATGGCAAAGTATTCGAGTCGAAGTAGTGTCTGCCCTGAATTGTCATTGTTCACCCCCTTCTCATGATCTGGCCTCCTGGACAGAGGGTCAGCACACATCATTGTCTTTCCAGGGCGGTGATGGAGAATGAAATTAAATCAGGTAAGGTAAAGTGACCATCGAACTTGTCATCTGGTCAATGTCTGAGCTTGTCGAAAATAGGTAAGATTTAGGTGATCCGACCATATCTCAACTGGGTGAGGATGTCCTTCAAAGTATTGCCTATATTCTTCCAATGCCCGAATAATAGCTAGCATTTCCTTGTCATAAATCTCATAGTTTTGCTCATGTTCATTGAGTGATTTGGAGTAATAGACGATGGGATGCCAGAGTTCATCTTCTCCCAACTGTTCAAGGATCGCACCTGTGGCAAAGTCTGAGGCATCTGTTTCTAATCTAAAGGGACGGACTGCGTTGGGGAGCGCTAAAATCAGGGCAGAAGTGAAGGCAATTTTGAGGGCCTCAAATGCCTTTTGTTGAGGTTCTTCCCACTTCCATGTTGAGTCCTTATGGGTCATCGATCCGAAGTCCTTGATGAATCATCGATAAAAGTTTGCCAGATCAAGGAATGCTTGCACTTGTTTTACCTTGGTGGGCATTGGCCACTTGAGAACACTGTCGACCTTTTCTGAGTCCATCTGTATCGACCCTTTTGAGATTATGAGACTGAGAAACTTGACAAAAGTGGTCGCAAAGTGACACTTTTCTGGTTTCACGAATAGGTCATTGTCTCTGAGTCGTTGTAGAATTTCCTTGATTAGACGATTGTGTTCTTCTTGGTTATCCATAAAGATGATGATGTCATTTATATAGACTGCCACCTTTCCAGTGCGAATGAGATCACTTAAAATGTCGTTCATCATTGCCTAAAAAGTGCTAGGGGCATTACAGAATCTGAAGTACATCACAGTTGGTTCAAATAAGCCTCGGTGGGTAATGAATGCTGCTTTTTCCTGATCTCCCTTGTGAAGGCGTACATTATTGTACCCCCATCTCAGGTCTAGTGTAGTGAATATACTTGCTCTTGAGAGTCCATCAATAAGATCATTGATTCGGGGGAGTGGGAATTTGTTCTTCTTGGTGACGCTGTTTAATGCCCTGTAGTCTTGGACTAGTCTAAGGGAGCCATCCTTTTTCTTAACAAAAAATACCGGAGCAGCGTACGGGGATTTAGATAGTTGAATATAGCCTTTAGCTAGTTCTCCATCGATCCATTCATCAAGCGAATTCTTCTCTCATAAGGATATAGGGTATACTTTTGCCGGTCTCGGAGTTGCCGCATCTGAGACAAGATCAATTGCGTGATCATAGGGCTTACACGTCGGCATTCTTTCCGAGCTCTTCTTTGAGAACACATTTCCAAATTGATGGAATTCTGGAGGGATGAACTTGGACCAATAGTCTTTGTCCTGTGTCTCTTCTGCTGGCTGTTCTACCAAATGTTCCTTTACCTTCTTGCTTATGCCAAGGATGTCGTGCACCATGTTACGAAGATCCTGGTCTTGCAAGTTTATCCAGTTAATGAAGTTGTCTTCCTGATCCCACCTGTCATCCTTGTGTACGTCAGGGAGAATTGCTTCATTTTCAAGTCAAGGTTGTGATAAAAGGTTGACTTCTTCTTCACTCACTCTGACTTGTTGCTTCATGGTGTGTCTGCATCTTGAGAATGTGACCTCTCTGTGTTCCCAGTCAACTTGGGGGTTATGTTCTTGTAGGAATCTCATGTCTAGGATTATTGACATGTGCCCGAGGTTAGTGATGAGCAAACTCTCGGTTGATCGGTGCCCTCCAATTAAGATGCTTGTGATTACACGATGAGTAATTGCACCACCTTTATTAGGGCTGGCATCTGCATTGAAGATTCTGATTTCACGTTTCAGCGATGTCATCGTGAACTCGTGTTTTTGAGCAAATGCTTTGTCGATATAGCAAGAGAATGCTCCTGAATCTAATAGCGCCATTGTCTGGATTTCCCGTAATACGAATCTTATCGGCAATTCGATCGAATGTTTAGAAAAACCTGTGGATGCAATATATAGATGGTTGCTAGGTACATTCATCCTCACAGTACTAATACAATTGTCCTAAAGTGTAGTATCAGACTCGTCTACACTTCGTACTGAAAATCCTCTGAGAATTCATCTATCTCAATGATTCTCACATTGGTGTCCTTAACCGTTGGTGCTGATGCCGTGGATGCCATGTCTGTGCCTTTCACCTTGCCCTTGCCTTTGCTGGATGATGGAGTAGTTGAGGTGGTACTCATCCCACGAAGTGCAGCAATTGCTTGTTCCAGTGCTGCAATTTGAGATGATGATGCCACGCTACTTTCTTCTTCCACTTGTCGCACGTTCATTGCCTTACCCTTCCCTTTTCTTTGTTTTAGGGTGGGTCATGTCTGAAACTGCTTTCCCTTGTATTCTGGTTTAGGGGAGGGACACCACTTTCCTCGTTTGTAGGCATGCTTTCTGCAAAATAAACATAGTTTATTTGCCAGCCACCTGTCTTGCTCTGGGGAAAGTTCGTGGGCAATTCATGCACTTGTATCCATGGTATTAGGGTCTTTGGGTGCAGTCGTCCTGTTTCCAGTTGTTTGTCCAGTGGGCTTGTTGCCTGAGAGCTGCTGAAGGTGCTTGATCTCAATTTTTAGACAGAATTTGAGATAACCCATCCAGTCTGTTGGGATCTTGCCAGGATCTAGCATCTCCATTACTGACATTACCATTTAGATGTGTGATGACCGTTGTTCTCTGGTTTTGACGATCAACTCTTCGTCAGAGTATCCTGATTCAGGTGCGTAGGCCCTGAAGTTTTCTGTGAAGGCAATCATTGTCTTGTGATGGATGGCACAGTGCACATCCAGTTGTGCTTGGGCGGTGCGCTTGGGATCAAGCGTCTTGTAAGCCATTTTCAATTTCCTAGTGTATTCTGCCCATGTGCTGACGGGTTGCCTGGATGAGAGCTTGATTGCATACTCCTTCACGTATAGAGCAGCTCCTCCTTTCAAGTGAGCGTTGGCCTGCCGAATTTTGTCCTTATCATTGGTGAAGTTGTTATAGTTCAACCAAATTTGGAGATTCATGAACCAGGTTTCAAAGTTCTCTGACGACTTCCTTCTCAAATACTTCGGGGGATCTGGGAGCTTAATTCTGCGAGGCAATTGGGTGGATTGGCCAGCCAGTGGTTGGGTACCTTGTGGAGGCACATTAATGATGGCATTGTTGAGTCGAGACTCTAAGCCAATGATGTAGGTAGTGGTCTTTTCCTGAGCCTCCTTCAGGGCGACCATGCTTGCGTAAAGAGCGTCTGTCTGGCCCTTTACTTCAATCTTGTAATCTTCAAAGTCCTTGTGAATTGCTTGGGCTTCAGCTGTCAGAGTGATATTGCTTTTAGTGAGTCTTTCGACATCCGTGGAGAGGGTGCCGATTTGTGCTCTTGCAATTTTTAGCTGGTCTCGTGTCTCCACTGCCATTATTTCGACATGGATGCGGGCCAATATCTCATCCTCTATGCTAGCAGCTACTCGTTCATGTCTTTCATTCATTTTTTGACATAGGGCCTCGTAGGAGCCTACCACATCCCTTAGAACGAACCAGCGGACCACATTCATCACCCAGTCCTTGATGTCTGTTGGGACTGTGGCTGGTGTGGCCACATTGGCTGCTTCTTCAATAGTGGCATAGGGAATGCCATCCCATTCCCACATTGAGAAAGTGGCGTATTCTGGTAAGACTGAAGGAGAAGGGTTTCTGACTACTCCCGACACCTTTGATGTGCTGCTTGTGGATTGTTCCAGACCAGGGGCAGCGGCTTCTGGTTTCGATGATTGAGAAGTGGCCTGACTTCTCCAGGGGTCTCCAGGCTCACTTCTTGTGACTCCTCCTAGGAACATGACACTACTGAGGTTGTACTGGAATAAGAGAATCGATGTGAAAGAGAGTGGGAATGAGTTTGATGACAATTTAGAAGGGGTCAGTGTTGTTGATGATAAGCTCCTCTTCTGTCAACTCTTGATAGAGTTGTTGCTCTCATTCCTGCAGCAGTGCTTGTTCAATGAGTCGATTCCTTCATTTTAGTGCTGCGGGTCTCAGATGTGCCTGTAACGGAAAATCTTCATTCCACACTTGTTGAGATCTTTCCTCATCCTCTTGATAAAGTCTGGCGTAGAACTCCCAGACCTGTCCTTCTGCATAATCTCTGACCGGGTTGTGGATATCGTAGCCTGTATCAATGAGACGAAAGTGAGTGTATCGGATAAGTGCTCATTCTATGTTGATCAAGTTGTAATGGAGGACGATTGGTGAGGTGACAAGTAGCGGTTGATAGATGAAGTATATGGTGAACGCGATGTGAAGTTCATCGTTTTCCAGGTAATGATTTGCCACGTAGTTTCGATAGATGAAGTTGAAGCTATATTGCGGCATATACAAGTGATATAAAAGATATAACTGGCTTAGTAAGGCCAGTAACACGACTCCTTCTCAAACTTTACTAGTTCCTTTCCTACCCGCACCTGCTCTTTGTTGATCCCTTTGAAAGAGATCTTTTCTAGACCTATGCAAAGCTTAATAGTGATGCACCTATCGACGAAAGTGAAGTCATGTTCCAATCCAATGTGTGCATTAATCTTCCCTAGATGTCGAAGAATCCTATCTCGACACTTTATCTGTTCCTCGGTGAACTTGGCAGCGATGTGCAGCTGCTGTAAGACTTTGTACCACTGGATGGTAGCGTGTACGGTGGGAGTGATGTTTTCAGGGAGCGTCCCTTTGAGATTCTCATAGATACCATGGGGATGATAGCTCTTAGAGAGTGCGAAGTTAATGACGTCAATGGCGGGGAAAGTTGCATAAGGGTGAGGAGGTAGAAGCGGAGTGGACAGGTTAGGTTCTCTTTGGGAATGCCTTTAACCCAGAGGCTAGCCTTTTGCTCTTAGATTTGGCATTCAGCTGTATGACCTATAGGGCCTCCTTCCAGCTGCTGTGCTTGAATGAGATTGCCTTGAGTCAAGCGATGGACTCTAGGCTGACGTTGATAAGGGTGGTAATGTCCGTTGGGTGGAACAGTACTGTTGATGGTTCGAGGTGCAGCGCTGTTCCTTTTGGAGGAAGGGAGCGGCTTAGGCAGTAGAGACGTGGAGGAAGTGTATGAGGGAAGTGATGTGGAAATAGCCCTGCCCTGGGTGGATGTACCTCTGGGTGAAAATGCACGGCAACCAGTGTTAGACACTTGGTTGGGACGTAAAAGGTAAGTCTTATTCTAATGTCACAGCACGCCGATGACAAAGATAGACAACCCAAAATAAGAGTCCCCTTGAGGGTCTCTGGGTAAAGGCCTACAGCAATGAGCTGTGGCGATACGACGTGCCTACTGACGAGGCTGACTTGCTGTCTGCAAGGTGAGACTTACTGGTGAGGCAAGTGGCGTGATCACAGATATGAGAGTGAATGCAAATGTATAGCACACTGAGAGTGTCTGGTAAGACCCCTCTGTGATGGTAGTGGTGGATGAAGGAGAATAAGACTGAGGGTCTCTCCTTGTCTCGCTGGTCCCTATATACATGATTGCCTAGCTACTGTACAGTACTACATAAGCGAGTCACATGCTATTCTACTAGACATGCTACAATCATACGACTTGTCCCAATTATCCTGATTGGTCAGCCTAACAATAACTCACAGAGACGAAGCTCCTCTTTGAGCATGCAATATGGTGTCATGGCGATTGTGACCTATGCTGAGGAGCTCAGTGTCACGTGACTATGCCGAGAGAGATCTGAGGTCATGTGACTAGATGATCGGTTATCTTATCTCCCATTAGGTCATGTGACTTTGTGCGACTTGAAATGACAAAAAGATAATACATTCCAATATGTATGTTCCTTTTATTAACTTGTCAGGTAAAATCGTGACAAGCGGTTTGACAGAAGCAGATCGAGATCAATCATATTTCCAGTGTTGAGAACCCTGCCGATATTTTTTACCAAGGCCCTTCCTCAGCCAACTCTTCTCAAGCACCTCGAATTTCTTGATCTCATGGCTTAGATTCTTCCTCTCTTTTATTTTTCCTCTATTCTTATTTCTTATTTCTTTTTCATTCTTTCAGCATCGCAGCCTAGGAGGAGTGTTGGAGTGCAGCCACTCTGGGGAGATGGAGAGAATGGGGAGCCTGGGTTTGACAGCACGGACACATGATCAGTGCGTAGATACAGAGCGACGTGTCATGGTAGTAGTACCTCAGTCGAGTACGTCCACGTACGGCGCGACTGAGGTAAGTCATGGACACTGTTAAATGTTTCTCTTCGCATAGACAAGGACTTACAGTACTGTACTAGGCTATGCTCATTACATTCACAGGTACAGTACAATCAATACAGAGTCGAGTACGTCCACGTACGGCGTGACTGAGGCTACGCTCGTTACATTCACAAGAATCATCGGAATCTACACGCAGTGCCAGAAAGTGTAAAATCTGCAGCAAATTGGATCAGGCCTGCCCATGCAATACAACACTATACAGACAAGTAAAATCTAGCAATCCCCAATTACTCAAGACCTCTAAAATCACTACATTGAAACGAAGTCCATGAAAGCAAGTATCGGTGTCGACGGTCTGATTGCGGGACGATGAGTATATGTCATAATCCATAACTGCAAGAGGAAGCATTCTCATCCCGGCGGGAAGTTGCATGCGCATTGGCAGGGTCGATGAATATCCGATGGGATGCAATGGACAGTCTGCATGCAAGATACCATTTGTATCCGACAAACCCCAGAGCAAAAGTGATCGGGGTGCGGATTGAATATTCTCAGATGTCTCCATCGATATATGCTCCATCGTGATACTTGTAATGTGCATTGCATGTGCCAGCTGCAAACCAAGATGGCCCGACGATCCACTCATGGCCCAACATTCCCCACTGCTGACTTCAGACTTCAGCACAATTGAGGCTGGATGAGGTTTCAAAGCATTGTAACCGAGGATGCGCTTGATTAATGCAATGTCCTTACGGTCCCGGATGACGTGCGTGAGCGATGTGAGAGAGTGTACAATGTGAACCCCTGAGATACGGTCTGAAGAGGTGTCCGTGGGCTCATGGAAGGCTGGGGACAGCGATGACTCGTCCACAGAAATGCAATGTGTAGAGTTCGGTGCATTATAGTGTCTTAGTGAAAGATACGCAGAGGACGTCTGCGGTATCAAGAGCACACAGAATGCGACCAAAAGCAGGACAATTAGTGTCCCAGCAGCACGGCGTAAAGAACCGACGAACGTGAAGGGAGTCCATGCACGACGTGTAGCTGGCGCGACTGCTGGGAGGAGATGATGCTGCGCTGAAATCGGCATAGCACCAGGTGAGTCGGCGATCACTTCATCATGTTTCATTCGAATTGACGACATCTCAAGGGCGATATGCACTGAAGCGAAAGTGGTTGGGATTGTTCTGTCCGAAGACGGCGTAGCTGACGCTAGTGAGGCGGACGTTAAAGGGCGAGCAACTCACGAGCCTCCTTCGTATCTCCGCTCAGTGAGGTCCGGTACGGCTGTAGCATCGTGAGTCCCACTCACAGGCCAGGGATTCCATGGAGAAAGATCAATGCAAGGTGAGGGTTCTCGTGAATCTTCAGCTAGGCCCTGCGCATTCCGCGCGACCATGACTCGTCGTACTAGATTCTCGTGTGTACGCGGAGACTCTGCATAGCCTTGAGCACATTGCGACAGTGAGAAAGAAATCACATCGGTGTCACCACCGTGATGAGCCTCTGCATGTATGGGGAGGGGTATAAACTGCGAAAAGCCACTGTTACTCGAAGCGGGAGTGCTCAAGGTATTTAGCAAGGCATGAAGGCCTATAGAAGGGGGGTTCCATGAAGGTATATCCTGGAAGGAAGTTGGTGAGGGTTCTAGGGAGGCATGAAGGCCTATAGACGCAGGGGGGTTCCATGCAGGTATATCCTGGAAAGACGTTGATGACGGTTCTCGGGAGGCATCAAGATATATAGATGAAGGGGGATTCCACGGAAGTATATCTTGAAAAGACATTAATGACGGTTCTCGGGAGGCATGAAGGCCTATAGACGAAAGGAAGTTCCGGGGAGATATATCCTCGAGAGATGCTGATGAATGTTCTCGCACAGATTCAGGAGAGTACGACGAACTCCTATCGTTGAGGGTATGCATGACAGAAACGGGGTTGTCTTGTAGTGCTTCATCAGTAGCTAGGGGATTTATGGAACCTACATACAATTCCGAGTAAACTTCCGCTGCCGCAGAAGGGGTGGACTGGCCACCTAGAGCATTCGGTGGAACAGTGCTTTGCCAGCCGCTGTGAAAACTGGCCCATCCGGAGCGACCCAGGTTCTCGCTATGTATGCCGGATGTTTGAGTATCTGACATGAAGTTGTACAAGGCCAATGGGCCATGCCTTAGGAAAGGCGACGTCTGCAGAACAGGATTGACGGAAGATATATCCAATCCCACAACAGTCAGCATCACCGCACCAAACCATCATGCTGAGAATCACCTGGGTAATGCTCATATTGCCCAGCACACCCGACAGTTGAAGCGCATTATGCCGTTCTTCGTGGACAGCAGGAAGTGTTGTCATCAATCCGAGCATTCGATGCGCTCGATTGTGAGATGTAGGCTTTTCTGAAGGCCAATGCTACAATGAAGTAAATGATATCACTTCATGAAGACCGCTGATAGAAGAAGGATGCTGATGTGAGGTGCAGAACCTTCCAGTGCCGATGTTTCGTGGGGGTTGCAAATGGGACTAGTCTTCATCACTTTTGACGGGCCCTGTCATCCTCACACATCAGATTGGAGTGATATCAAGAATGCGGTGAGATTGACGTACTGCAGTCATCATTCGCGATCTCCCTGATTGCCCTTCTTCATGGGATGATTCGAGTCGATCGAGTCTGGCGCGGTGCTTACGATTGTGCATGAGCTTATATCGCAGAAGCAGTTGCAATGAAAAGATTGAGAGCTACAGAGTGAGAAGTACAGAATGTATAGGTAGTCGGCTCTAGCTCAGCGCAATGTCGGAGTCGAGTTGCAGGCGTCGATGCGACACAAGGTGGCAACGGGCTGGAAGCCGGTGGCGATGCGGTCAGCATCTTGATCGTGAAGTCGGCTATCGCCTGGTCTGCTCAACGTTGCGTTCGACTCTATATCTATACACTATAATAACATCATGGCGAAGAAGAACAAAATCAATGACCAGCATTCGACACTGGCTCTCAGTGGCGTAGCAACGTTCTGCAATGATTGAATTTCCTCTACCAAGTCAGCGCGTATCTTCAGCGCGTTCACCAAGTCAGCGCGATCGCGAAGCCTATATATTCAAACAGACCGTCAAAATGATCTTTGTCTGCACAATGCGTGAGACATTGCAGCGTGTAGCAGCCAGTGATTGCCTTGTGTGAGGCTCCAGTTAACATACAGATGCTGATCGATACCCCGCTGAAGTTGTTGGTGCCCAGTGCATGTCGGCGCAAGTCGTGTACTTTCTGCTGCTGGACAGTATACGGGTGTCGCGGAACCAAAATGTTCCCCGACGAATTGCCCAATCCCCCAAGACTGCTTCCATCCCGCCGTTGCCTGAGCAAATGGTCTCCAGTCTGTTACGGCTGAGCCAGATGCCGTCCCAAGCACTGTTACAAAGCCATTAGGTTCCACGGCAGTCGGGTAACAATACGAATGAAGATGATCGGTTGGTTCTGCGCTGGCTCAGTTTGTCTGCCCATGCCCTATGGTCCGATGTGCAGTTACGCGAGATGATTACATCCAGCCAAGAAGGATGTACGTGTCACTTTTCAACGATGAGTAATAGACTTTATGCTACAGAGCTGCTTGTACAGATGTTCCTTTGCACTATACAGATTTTCCTTTGCACTATGTGCTGAAGCACTCTATACAGATGTTCCTTTGCACCATGTGCTGAAGCACTCTGATCATACGAGAGCTGTGAACCCATTGCCACTGGAAACAGTGTTGGTGAAGATACTGTGTAACAAAGCAAGCGTTATTTTTGATGTTCACATGGTACAGGTAATATCAAACAGTCGATGAAGACGCGTCTGGTGGCTTTGAGATCAGAAGATCAGACTAGGAGATGCTCCCTTGGCGGTTGCACGAATATACAAAGCAGGAACTGGGACTCGAAGTCTGTGTACATAGGTACGTCTATACCCAAATGCAGATGTTCCATTATGAACGGCTGTGCATAGCTTTAGGAAAATATGTATACCTCGTCTCCCAGGGCCTCTCGCTTCATAGATCACGTGCTCCTGAACTATTCAAGCGACCGAAAGCGACAGGTACACATTGTCCTTCGAGTATATCCTACAATACAGTCGATAAGATGTCGACGGCAAAAGATCTAAGTCTCTCCTCTTTGCCGCAACGTCTGACTGGATTGTTTCTGTCTTTGAGTGCTATGCAGTTCGATCAAGTGAATGCTCGCTCCAGCCGCAAACGCCTTCGTTCCTCAAGCCCTGTAACGGGAAGAGAGAAGCGCATCAGATTACATCGTCATGGCATCTCTCTCGCAGTTGTGCCAGTGGAGAACACGCATCCTACGCAGCCCGATCCTATCCTTCAGGTGGCTGGCATGTCCAGTGCAATCCCTCGCCCTCTGTCTGCGGGCCAGACCGCACCTGAGTCGGTGCTCGTCAATCTTGCCACAAACTCAAGAATACTTGTTGTTCGTCAGTCAAGTAAGTCTTCTTGCTGCTAAACTCCACGTACTCTGACAAACTCTAGTAGCTCAGCATGATATTTCGAAGATTCATGTCAACAAAACCGAATCGCAACCTGTCATTGCACAGCATGAGAATCCTGCAACACCTGAACTTGCCAGTGTTGCATTGCCTTCACGATGCTTGGTTCCACTTGCATCAGGGGTGTCTTCGTACGAAGGACAGCAACTACTCAAGACCGTCGAACAAGATCAGGCAAATAGTGGTGAGTTATGAGCAAACGAGGTATACATATGTATCTTATCGTCCTATATACTCGTGGGATTCGTGGTTTGCACCTGCAGTGCACGACATCATCCAGTCCTCTCTCGATGGACAAGAGCATCAACCTCTCATTTCTGTGCATGATGGCATCAATCGTGCATAGAATGAGTGTATATTGTCTCTGATGACTGTCTGATGAGACGCTTGTACACGCTTCCCTCAGCACCGTGGGAAGCTCCCATTCTCGAACATTACGATCAACAGCACAGTCTCCCTTCTTCGGAGGAACCCTCAAATCGTCCTTCAGACATAGCTCACGGTACGGTGATTGTGTTGTATAATCGGTCTTCCTCTAATTAGTGACACCACTAGGCCTTCTGGGACGGGCTCTTGATACCATGGGTGCCAGTTCGGGTGAGTTGTCCCGTGAGCATATAAGAATGCTGCACTGCATGATGACTTCCTTGTTGTACAAACGAAGTTCCAGAGACGTTGAAGATAATTCTCTGGGACCAGAGAATGCTCCAGGAAATTAGTAGCGAGGAAGAGTCGACTGATATTGACATTGAGGGCGAAATAATTGTTGAGCATCATGTTATCGAAGGTTGTTCTGCGTTCAGTGAGCGATCTTCGTTCTGTAATATTGGCATGCTCTGAATTACATTCAAGAGTGCGAAAGTCCAAGTTCCGATTGCGCTCGATCACATGGCTGTGTAGATTTCACGATTCATCACCCTGCACGAGACATCAATGAGCGGTCTGCCGACCAAGATGAATCATCGGCGGGGATACAAGACATGCATTCAGGCAGTAAGGTGCAGACTTTAACAGGTACAGGACATGCCCATCGTGCAATGTGGCGAATCGAAACTCACGGTAAACTGGCTTTGTTTTAGGTCCTGATGCACTTCCCTCGTTGGGTGGCATTGCACTCCACAGCGAGGGTGCTAAGTCCGATGAACAGGATACTCAAGGAGTCCGTAGTCAATGCCTCGATCGTGAGGTCGCATGTGAGGGTGTTGGGGCTGCACGCAGTCCTGAGGGCAACTCACGTGGACATGCTGATAAGTGCCGTGGTCAGTTGACATCTCATCGGTCACCTCAATCCGCAACTTCTTGGGACGCTGCAAGTGCAGTTCAGCACCCCTTTTCACCACTTCTCCTTCATTCATTTTTCGGCCAAAGTCGCACTATGCTTGCTTCAACGGGCACGAAACTTGATGTACAAGTCAAGGCTTGCGGTATGCCGGCTGTCCATAGACATATTTTCAATGAGCGTATTCTGTTGGACTCCGTCGAAAGAGGCAGATCGAGTGGCAATCGACAGTCTAACGCCTCGAACGTCAATGATGCAGCAGAAGTCGGTGAGGGACATCTACGGGGCCAGACGTCGTGGTCCGATCCTGTCGAGGTGCACTCAACAAATCCCGTACGAGGCACACGTAGTTGCGATGACACTTCCGGAGGAGCCAAAGCCTGTCCTGCGGTCCAAAGTGAGTTCGGAATGGAAGAGAAAAATGCCTCCATACCTTTGGGAAGTGCGAAGCCATCTCCACAAGGGCTGGAACCATTCTTCGAAGCGCCGAGTCCATTACCACGCCATACCGGTGGTGATGAATATTCATTGAGGCGAGAAAGCACGACAAGGGGCACCGACACGCGGGCTTCTATTCCTCAGGATGGGAGTATAGGTGTCACGGATCTCGGCTTCATATCATGGGAAGGAATCCCATTGGCTGCAGCAAACTCATCGACGCTCGTTTCGCCGATCATAAACGGCATGGAGAGGGCTGACACGTCGCAAATATTGCAGCCAATGCCATTCGGTGAAGAGAACATCCTCATGAATGGCAGCGAAGTGCTAATCTCGCATCGCGCGGTTGCTGAGAGTACTCAGATGCACGGGTGGTCAGGTATTCCATCGCTGAATATGCCGGATGATGGCGAGCGGTATCTGTCTTCGATGCAATTCTCCCGCTCCGATGATCAACCTTCAGCCCACGACATCACCTGGGATTACTCATCCAATATCGCCATGGATGTTGACGACATGGGGGCCGCCATGCATCGCTCAGCCAACGAGTATAGCTTCAATGTAGACGTTGGCGAAGGCGATATTGCTGCAAAGGTCATAGCACGTAGCCTTTAGCAAGGTCCTTCATTGCCCCCATTTCCTCACAAAGATGGCTCGAGCGGTTTCTTTTTGGCTGATCATATAGAAATGACCGACAATTCCTGGTTCTCCTACCGACCCAGTGTCCATGAGCAACTCATCGCACACGCAGACGAAGCCCAGTTCCGATCCTCCTCTATCTCTCGAAATGCATCACTATCGCGCAGCAATCTTTTCGTGCCAACAAGCGATCAGGTTGCGAACCAATCTGGTTCCTCTTCAAATCCCAGGCTGCCCAGATCTTTGCCTCACTATTTCGTGAATAGGCCAGCATACCCCACTGTCTCACCGAATATCGGGCAATCCTTGCCTCAAGTCACTGAACTGAGAGAGCGACCTATTCACGGCACCGTTGGAGTGACGGATGAGAATATGGTGGAAGTCGCTTTGGGCGAGCATGCTGACGAAGTTACATCAGCTCCTCACCTTGGAATGCCTGTGCACGGGGCAATTCACGTCGCCGATACTCCATCCAGCTTTTGGGCAGGGTTCTCTTTTAGCAAGTTGCTGCATTCTGACATTCGTATACCTAAACTGACCTCTCCGATGATGAATGACGACGAGAGACCAGCTTGGAATCCGGGCAGCATCCGTAGCTGGGATCATGACGATGTAGGTCTTTCGGAGGGCCATTTTGCCGATCGCGAGGGCGATGAAACCAGGACGTCAGTGCGGCGAGATCAGATCATTTCAAGAGACCTTGTAGAGGACGTTCTACGCCGATTGCACAAGGCCAAGATATCTCCCAACGATCAGCACTTTGTAGACGACGAGCGAACCCTTGTAAGTCAGGCGCGTCAATGTTTGGATATTTAGTAATATAGGACACGTGTAGCAAAGTGTCTTACACGATTGGAGTGGCCCTGCGATGGTGAGAGTCAAAATGTCCTCGTGGCTTCAGCGACTTATGATCATCATCAGAACTCCGTGGCCACCAGGAAGGACCTGCGTGTACTGCTCGCAATTGTCCTCGAACAACTTCGACTCACGTCTGCAGCATCTTATCATACACAAGCAAATACTGCAATTCCCCAGGCCCAAACTCCACAAGGCATGCGTAACATTCGGACAAAAGTCCGCCATCGTGATGCCACTGTCCTCAATATGCAGGTCGGATGAATGATGTCTTTTTACCTGATTGATCAAAGCGCTGATGATTCGTTCCTTCAAGGCCAAAATACGCATGCACGCTAGTGAAATGCTGGGGTGTACCTTCATCGACAGCCCTATACCTGTCGCATCAGATAAGGAGGCTCAAGCCTTTGAACAGCACAAGCATCCAGGTCCCTCTCGGGCAGACTTCAGGCTCCATTTGAGTGGCTCGCTGACATCAAAATGGAACAAACAAGCGGCTGCAGTATTTTCGGAAGAGTTCATCAACCTTGGATTCTCGGATCACCATAATGACAAGGATATCAAACACATGTTCAGCGTCCATCTAGCAACTTTGCGAGCTCAGTACAAGAAGCAGCTGACCGGCACTGAAGAGCCTACGCAGGTAGAATTTGACAGACAGACAGAGGACAATCGAGAACATAGACGTCGTGCGGTAGGCCGTGCATCGTAGATTCATAGGTTAGATACTCATGGTGCTTTATCAGCTTCGAGAACGACGATCAAGTGCTGTCAGCGCACATTCACATCTCGCTCGTTTCCAGAATTTGTGGGACACTATCCCTTACACGGCGATGAGTGGCGACGAGTCCGACCACTCACGAGGAAAAGTGAGATATGTCGTGACAAGGTTGTACTGACACTCTCCGGAATTCGAGAGATGGCTGTTGTCTTTGACTGGATGCATTTGTGGTGTAGATTCACACCAGAAGGAAGACCCAAGCACGGCGCATTTCCTCGATATCGCCGTCGTGGATCCATGAGGCTCGAGCGTGGTGCATTACCTGTCAAAGGGCTTCCTGTGAATTGTTATGATACGCAATGGTTAGCCGGACTTGACCTGGAAGACCGTCACTCCCTCAATATTCAACCAGCTGCTGATCTCACTCACACTAACACCGTTATGACGTTTGTATCATTACAAATCTTTCACGTTACTCCGCTGACTCTTCCTTCAGCATTGCTCGCAGATTCGCCCATGTCAAGGACAGTACAACACGCCCTCATCCCTCATCTACTCCCTGACCAGTGTTGACTGCGCCCCTTCGCACTTTTCCCCCGAACAATGACTATTGAGTGTCTGTTGAAGGACCGGAATGGCTGTGTGCCGTTGCATCTGTGGTGATACTGGATTCCAGTGCATGATTCCATGGTCAGCAAATACGTACAGACCAAACAACATTTGTGTGGTTTTATATATTTATACATGTGAGACTTCATAGTCAGTGCATGCATGGCATGAATGTTTCCCTGCATTCATTACTACTCGAGAAGCGCCAATCTATCACCGGCAGCACAGAAACAATGTCTGAATTCGGCCAGATTGACGGGCTTCCTAAGTGAACCGATCAAGCTGATCAGGCGACCACCTTCCAAGCAAGCGGCATAGGACTCACAGAATCGGCCACACCGGAGGACGATAATGCGCTGTGAGTCCGAATGTATCTCTATTTTGCAGCCTCGGTAAAGAAGTCCCCGGAGCGATTAGCTTGACTTCTCAGGTACAGCAAACGGGATTGGTATACGCACGCTGCCGAAAAGCCTTATACTATCAGTTCATATCGAAAGGGTACCGCGGATGGTATCAGGCTCCAGCATGCCGGCACGGAGATCATGAATGAAGCCAAGGGAGGAAATATGAGAGAGGTGGTGCTGGGAAGCTGTGAGCTACGGTCGGGCGTGGGATCATTTCTGTGATGAGCCGACGAGATCGTGCAGCACAGAGAGGATGCAACATACTCGATGACGAAATGAATCTGAGGGTGGGTCCGTGTGCGAGAGGTAGGACTCATACCTGTAAGCGAAAATGTGGTACGATGAGCTCGGCTGCACACGGGTGAGAAGAAGCCGCTGTCGGGCTGACCAGAACTCCTCGATATAACAACCCCATACAGTCAGTCCACACTGCGTTCACATATATAATGCAAGGAGGCTCATGGGCATGCACCTGGCCTTGTCCTCAGCGTATTCCTTCAGGTGCTCCTGCCATCTTGGTCCGTCGCTTACAAGGAGCTCGTCGGCCGCCTGCTTCATGTGCTCATGCTCTCTCAAATCTTGTATTGAGGTATCGTCGGCAGCTGTCCTCGACGGGTGAGATGGGGAGGCGGGGGAACTCGTGCTGGTGCGAAAAGGTGCGCCCATCAGGCGGGTGGGCCTGGAACTTGGTGACTATGTTCGGGTGAGTGAGATTTAGCAGGATCATGGCGGAAAGTAGGGAAGAGATGGCAAGAGCGAGAGGGAGAAGGAAGGGAGTGCGTGCTTACAGCTTTTCGATTCGCTGGTCATGATGGTCGAGGTTATGTACGGGAGTCCGTGCGGGGAGTGCAGGTAAACAGCCCTGGACGGGTCAACTGTATCGGTATATGTCTTCAGATCTGCAGTATATGTCCAGCTATCATTGACGATCCATCGTTGCATATACTCTGCGAAGGTGAGACTTGAGCCGGCAGGTACGGTCGTGGAGGACACCATGAATCTCCAGCAGCGGTTCCGTGATGACTCTAGCTTGAAGGAGGTCAAGATGAGCCTGAGACGGCACTGAGCCTGGAATTACTATCGATCCGTTCCCGCTCCTCAACGTCCACCGAAGATCAGACAGGCTGAACACATTCGCGAGTGCGACCGTGGGGAGGGATCGCAGCTAAAAAAGCCGTGGCCCACATCGTGCCACCCTATGAAGTAGTGATATTTGCCTTGCCCTCATCTGTACCTGTATATACAGGCGAAGGAAAAATATATTTACCAATGGTGCGGAAGCTGCGGTGACCCCATGACTGCTTTCGACGTGCGTGCTCGCTGATTCCGAGGAAAGGCGGCCGGAGGAATTCCAAGTCGATGATAAATTCACGTAACTGGAAAACACGTGTTCATTGGGAGCGAAGAACAAGACGCAGCGACTGTGCACTTCGTTCGCGAGGTCAGAGTCAAAAAAAATCAGTATTAGTCCTCGGCAGCCTCTTGCAGCCACTCATCCATGAGAAGGGGAGGTGAATGAAGTAGGCGCGAGAGTTAGTCAGCTTTAACTTCTGAGCAGTCTTCACTCGTGATCGTGTAGATGCGCGTACGAGAGTGGACTTCTCCAGATCAGATGATTAGCTTGATGTGGACACCGTGCCGCTTTGTCGGCACGATTGGCCTGCTTAAACCCCGCTTTCCTGAAGGGGGTTTCAATGGTCTAAGATCGTATCCGAAGTCGATTGCATTTTGGGAAGGAAGGGCTTGGCCAATGGCCATCTCGTTGAGTGTACCATTTGATTATGTTAAACAAACTGTGGGGTTAGAGCAGAAAAAAATACAAGCTCCAAGAAAGTAAGTCGTGACACTTCTTTGGACCTATCTTCTTTCGCGTGACCAAGTCTCCCAGGTCCTATTTTGCCTGACACGGCCTGTTCTCATTTCCCACCAGTTGCCATTGTATTCTGGTCCCAGTTGGAACAGTGATATAAGAGCCTCGTACTCTCTCACAACTTTGAAGGCGACCCACTAATCCATGCTACCTGACCGGATGCCACCGATATATGAAAGCGGACCCATTCTGGATCTAGCTGAATGGCATCTCCATTTTCATGCAAACAACACAGAGACTTCGCCCTCCTACTGTGAACTACCAGCCACCCAAGTACCTGCTGCATCACAGTTACCGAAGGCTCCAATGCAGCGGCGGCGGTTCACTGCAGCTGACTTGCATAAATCGGTGAGTAGTCCAGGCAACATCATGAAGCTAGTGCTGATACATGCTGGCTTGCAGTCACGTGTAATCCCCAGCAATGGTGTATCAAATGAACGTTCTGCCCCGAATTCTGAGGTAGGCTCTTCTTGTTTCAAATTGGCAACGCACTTTAATTATGGCAGGCTGCCGTTCATGCTGACGGAATGCCCTTGGATAATTCCTCTATCACTTCCTATCGCATCTCCAGAGTAAGAGAGTTCTGTTCCTTTTCACGTATGATATGCTGAAATAATGATGGTGCTGAATATAGTTCTTGAGACCTCAACGACGCAAGATTCGAGGAAACGATGGATATGTTGTTTGGTACTCGAGCATCGGCGACAAACCCATCGCTTGTCCTGTCCGTATCTGACCAGGCATTAAGCTGAATGTAGGCGACCTCTTCATCCATGGCATGAAGATTGAAGCTGGTTCTCGGATCGCCCGCTACCAGGTTTGGATCATCGATGAAGGTGGCGTGTGGCTGGAGGTTGCGAGTGCAAGGAACCAGACACATCCATTATTGAATCATTTAGTGCTGGTCTTTGGAAAATCTGGGAAACTGAATTGGGTGATGGAGAAGACTGCGAATTGCCATACTGAACCAGAGATTCTAATATCTACCATTTCCTAGATTCTCTAATATACACAACATTCTCGTATATGACTGTCATCAATGTCCTTGCCCAATGTGCTGCATCGCCGCAGACTGCGCCATTATCCTCTCGGCTATTGTAGGGCATGATCCACATGATAACTACGTGCTCGGGCAACCTGCAGCGGTCCCGGACTAAACGAAGTCTCTCCGGCGCGACAGCTTGATAGATGGTCGGCTCGGCGTGCCGCGGAAAGTGCTCGAGGGCGCGGATGAGAGCATAGTGGTTGCGTTCGACGAAGCACTTGGTATGCTTATGACGCTATCCGCTATGATTGTAGACCCTGGGAACTTGGAGGGCGAAGAGGAGCACAGATGGAACACTGACAAAGTAGTACAGGAGAAAGAAAATCTAGTCTTTTGAGGGGATTTTAAGGTGAAGATGTGCCGGATAGATGTTGAACGTTAATCAATGCTGGTGCTATGGGTGCACAGGTGAACGTCAACAGCTACCTTTCGAAAGTTGTCGAGATCCCAACGGTCGCACGGATGCTCACGGATTTCATTGAGTTTAACAGATTTGACAAATTCGTACCCGGCAATTCCGTGTTCTGATGGTGAAACGCTTTACATATCAATGAAAACTTTCAGCCGCGAGTATTGGTATAGCAGCCGTTAGGTAGGAACGACTGTCTTCCTGTATGAAGGCTGATTTATGAGCCTATAGCAGCCGGTGCGTCTCAACTCTCCTCGCGCATCCACATTCACAATAACTGCAAAAATGTGCCGCAATGGCGGCATTCTCGGATGAGTTCAGCCGTGTTGTGCAGTTGAAAGAGAAGACATCCATAGCTGTGAAGAATAACATGCCTGCATCGATGCATTACACTTGTGCCCTTGCTATGAACATGCTACCTCTGATTAACGTTAACATGACACGCGTCACGTTGGGAGCACTGATCTTGGCAATCGTTATGTATATCTCGAATATCATCACGATCCTGCTGAATAGCAAAACTGTAGTGGTCTGTGAAGGATTCGTTCTCTCTTGACATATTTTGCATTCTCAATATTGTATAAACGCTACCAATCGATCCTACATGCATGAACTGAGTGCAAATGTGGGTGCGATTACGAGCCTCTATTGTTCCACATTCAGCGACGAAAACTGGTAGGCAATAATGTGCAGAATCGCTGGATCGTCGAGTGCAGTGACCTCGCGACCCTCGTGTGCACAGATGATGGCAGCCTCGCGATCACTCATCACCTTGGAGATCTTGAAGGAAACGCTGATAACGATGGGAGCATAAGGATCAGCAACGTATGTAGATGCCGAACGGGATCAGCACACGCACCTGCGCATCCTCAGCAAGCCTCTCGTCGCTCACGTGTTCACTCTGTCATCCAAGAGATATGCCGTACCATAACAGTTGTTCCAAAAGGTATTGGTCGATGCTTGCTTCGTTATCGTTCACCGATGGAGAAGGTGTCTCTGCCGGTGGAGGAGGCTGTGAAGCTGGTTGAATCCCTTTCATCAGTCCGACGCACGTTCCCAATAGCTTGAGAGTCGCTTACCGGCCTGCATCGTCAGCCATTCCTGCCTCAGCAACTGCGGAATTGTCATGCGGCATTTAGGATCCCGCTTAAGACAGCTCTGCATGTCCCCAATGATGGCTTCCGGTACGGGGACTGCTATGGGCTTTTCCGGATCAGGAGGATGAAGTAAAGACACGCTCTCGGGGAATATGATGAGACGCGAGGCGTCGAGTATGGCTTGCATCTTGTGGATCATGGACAAATGATAAAATGGTGGCTTCCCATACACCATCTGGAACAAGATGCAGCCCAGAGACCATACGTCACTGGGCCGGCCAACTTTGAGTTTGTAATTACCACTGGGGGTTTGGATGGCTTCGGGCGACATATAGTTGACGGTGCCGATCTGCGTCGACATCAGCAACCACCCGGACATGGAACAGCTGTGGGACGATTCGTACTTGGTAGTCACGATGAATGTTTGTGGTGTCGTTCGCGATGGCCTTCGCAATACCGAAGTCAATAAGCTTTAGCTGACCACGGACGAGTACAAAGTTAGCAGGCTTGAGATCTGAGTGAACAACTTTCTCTTCATGAATAATATGGATGGCTTGCAACATCTGCAATTCGGGGGTATGGTGAGCATTTAGGCACATTGAAGCAGTTATTCTCACTGACTTGTTTCCAATAATATGCTATCCACACTGGATCCAGAGGGTACCTTTGCTGTTCCTGCAATAATTTCGCCAGATCTAGTAGGCGACGTGTGAATTTGCTAGCTTCTTTCGTGAATGGCATGGACACTCACCAATCTCACCATACTCCATCACAAGCAACAGATGGCCTCTCGACCCATGAGGCCCAGGCTTGACCTCGCTATCGATGAGCCTGATGATGCGATTGTTGCCTGAGAGGCGCCTCAGAAATGATACTTCATTCATCATTGTTTCTCTGTCAGTCTTCTCGAGTGCAACCCGCTTGATTGCGAAGATCTCGCTTGCCGGACTGATTACGCGGTACACGCGAGATGACCCGCCCTTGCCTATCACATCAAGGTGGGTGTATGACTTCTTATTGACCTGTACGTCAAGATCACGTCAATTAATGTACGCACCAAGCCCAGCTGCACGACATACGATGATAGTATGCCATCGCGCATCAGAGCCGGGCGTAACGCTTGGCGCTGATATTGCTGCCGCTATCGAAGCTGGCTGTGCATGTTGAGATGAAGGGAGGCTCGCAGACTCGCTAGCCGGCTGTGACCTCGACCCATATGCGACGTCTTGATCCCAGTCTCCCCTGTCACCATCAGCGAACGATCGACCAGCTGAAGGTGCCTCCAGTTCCAACACTGTGGCTGTCATGCTCGTCGTGAGCATGTCCGACGAAGAAGGCCCACGCATTCCCATAGAGGTTCCTGGTCACAGAGAGGCTTGTTGAAGCTGCAAATTCGATAAAGCAGACACTTCTGGCTCTGTCTTCGCTTCCACGGACGCACCGAGGCTCATAGAACGACGTGGCCTGGCATGACGTTTGTGCTGCCACAGCCACGGATCAAGTGTACTGCTCTCCTCAGTGTCCGGGCCCTCTATGACTTTCTCGAGGTTCCTATTCAAGGAGCGCGTAGAATGGAAGGGGATGGAGGAGCGCAGCGATGGTCTTTGTGCGTTGTTGCCGTTGTTATGCTTTTCCTCCTCAACGGCTTGAGGTTCGGATCGGAGGAGAGCCTCCACCTCCCGGAGTTCTTCTCGTTTGACGCGGCATGCTCCACCCATTCTGCGTGCAGGGTCACTTCCGATAGACGGCTGCGCAAGGATTGACCGAACAGAAGACGATGCGGAGGATGCAGTTCTTTGGGGAGAGCGTGGTGCATGGACCAGAGTGCATTCAGACGAGCTCAGCAGGCTCTCAGATTGAATGAGGGGCAACGAATCTGAACATGAGTTAGGTAGGGAACGTCTGCTACCTCCAACTCTGGGAGACTGTTCCAGAGTGGGAGGCGGATCCTGTGTGGAAGTCTTGGGGGAACCCTTGGATATCCTTTTATAATTACCTTCCGAATCCATTTCATACGAGAAAGAAACATCATAGATTAAAATATCTGACACTGCATCGGACAGCGCAGGAGACGCATCGGCATCGGCATCAACGTTCGTCGTATGCGGAGGTGTCGGGGGTGGCTCAGTGCATGAAGTGGCATCAGCGTCAACGGTCGTCGGTGGCAGAGTTGTCGGGGGTGGCTCAGTGCATGAAGGAGAGGCAAGCATTGCTAATGGCACACTTGGAAGAAACTTTTCCGAGCTTTGAAGCGAAATGGTCGCGGAGAACACGCAACTTCAAACTCGACGAGATTCTCACCTCTCGAATCAGAGTTTGATGCACCATTTTCATGGTCGAGTTTTGAGCATAGTTTTAAACATGTATCGAACCCTTGCTGTACAAAACTATCTAGTTTTCTCCAGTCTCCGTGCTCGGTGTACATGATAGCATGAATCGATTGAGAGAAACGTGTACGCGCGTGAAGCTGCCTCATAGTCATCTAGACCACCATATTTGCAATGTTCATACCAGCCTTGAACCTAAAGTTCTCCTTGCGGAGTCTGATGGAAGCCAGTATATCTTGCAAAATCGCTATCTTCACCTCATATGTCTTTTCCTCCTCCTCCAATTGACGAATAGCTGTAGAGTGCTGGTTAGGATAGATGCATGTGAAGGGATTAATGGTGGTGAAATCAGCAGCTCCTACAGCCGAGTCTGCTTGGTAAACCTTTCAGTATTGGGTCGGGCGAAGGATGGGGAAGGTCTCACCATTATTGACGCGAGTTTCAACCTGCTCACAAAAGGACGCCGGCGAAACCATGCTGCAGCCCTTACGAGAGAATTCGCACTCTGTGCACTGCCTCTTCCCTTTCAGTGGGACGCAATCTAAGTTCTTCCTGTAGCACGGGGTACACTGCTGTCACCGTCCGCCTTTGGCGTCATCACCGGAGATGTCGGCAGCGATGACGGCGAGTGCGTCAATGACTGTGCTGTCAGACTCGAAATCTGCTGGCGCATTTCGCTCATTGATGGTAACGAGTGCGTGCTTGAAATCGGCGACGGCGGCGGCGACATCCTTGCTGCTAGCTACCACTGGTAGGTTGCTGTCTGACGAAGGAGCGGGCTTCGCGTCTTTGCTGGGGGAGATCACGAAAACGTCAGTGAGGCCTAATTTACTGCTCAGTATGGCATCAGCGGCCTACCTGCCGCTAACGTTGAAATCAGGGATGCCTAGGGCAGGCTGTGTCTTCTTGTCCATAAAAACTGCAATCACAGGGGATGACACATTCGTGATGATGGCGGACTTCGCATCGGGGGTGATACGATCCGGCAGGCCACCGGAAGGAACTGCGTCATTCTCGACCGGCGCTCTCTCATTCATCGTGGCCTTGGGCTCCACGTCCGCGGCAGCGTTTGCCGCAGTGGCGGATGGAGGATGAATTGGACCCTGTCACGGTACGTGGTCTTCACTGAACGGAATCGGGCGTTTTTGTTCCCACGCGGTTCGAATTGTGATGGGAGTCGGAGGTAAGGGGAATATTGGTTGAGTCGACATACTTAAGTCTTTCTCGACCTTTGACTCCTTGTCAGACGAACGTATGTTCGCTTTAGTAGCTGGCAGCTTCTCCTGTTCATCCAACAGGTCTTTAAGAGATATGAAGTGATGCTCTTCGATGTCAGCGTTGGCGAATGCGAGATCCACAGCGTCTCTCAGTGCCTGCTCTCCGAAGCGAGTCTTCAGGTCGGGGAGGAACGTCACGCCCCACACATACCATGCAGGGGTTGCAGGGGTTCGACGAAGGCCCGCACATTTTCGCAGATGTTGTTGAAATCCACTCCAACCTTGTCTGCTCCGACCTCCTGAATCACCGTATCCTACATATCGCGTTAACCGAAGAATAATCAGTGTAATTGCACGCGCACTCACCATCCTGACAATGAAGCCCTGGAACCAATCAATGAGATTCTGAGCTTCATTCTCGTCAGTCGGAGCCTTAGGCATCCGCTTGTAGTACGCTGCTAACTGGTGACGAGCTAGGAGAGCATCAGAAAGGCTGATATACGGCGTCGCAGAGGAAATAGACATGATGGGATTGGGGTGGAGAGGAGGCGAGGGATTGTATGAATGTGTAAAGATCCGGAAGCGAGCCCACTCGTATTGTTCATTTTACCACGTGTTCACTTTCCCTCGGTTGGTGTTTGTGTTCACTTTACTGTTCACTTTACTATCATTCACGGCAGAATGATTTATCAGTGTGAAAAATAGTGTGGGAATGTCGGTTGATGTCTTACATTTGCGGCAAAGGTTTGCCAATCTGTAAAAAATCAGTCGACAATTCTTCACGTTGATAAAGTGCACCATGTCTGCTGTGTATAATATATATGGGGATGTGGCGCGGAGTTTGGTTCCCACGCACGCGATCTGCACAGCCACCCAGCGCGTTCCCAAGCATGCATCTGCACGCCGTCGGTCATGTCGCCCCGCCGTCGCTCCTCATCGCCCGCCGTCGCACTCAAATTAATGTTGGCTATACATACTATGCGCACTTGCGCGCATCCGAATCCTTGCAGAATCATTGTTTGCGCAATCTGTGGGGATGTGGCGTGGAGTTTGGTTCCCACGCACACGATCTGCACAGCCACCCAGTGCGTTCCCAAGCATGCATCTGCACGCCGTCGCTCATGTCGCCCCGCCGTCGCCCACCGTCACCCGCCGTCGCTCCTTATCACCCGCCGTCACACTCAAATTAATGTTGGCTATACATACTATGCGCACTTGCGCGCATCCGAATCCTTGCAGAATCGTTGTTTGTGCAATCTGTGGGGATGTGGCGCGGAGTTTGGTTCCCACGCACGCGATCTGCACAGCCACCCAGTGCGTTCCCAAGCATGCATCTGCGCGCCGTCGGTCATGTCGCCCCGCCGTCGCTCCTCATCGCCCGCCGTCGCACTCAAATTAACGATGGTTGTACATGGCATGCGCACTTGCGCGCGTCCAAATCTGTGCAGAATCGTTGTTTGCGCAATCTGTGGGGATGTGGCGTGGAGTTTGGTTCCTACGCACGCGATCTGCACAGCCACCCAGTGCGTTCCCAAGCATGCATCTGCGCGCCATCACTCATGTCACCCCACCGTCGCCCGCCGTCGCTCCTCATCGCTGGCAGTCGCACTCAAATTAACGATGGTTGTACATGGCATGCGCACTTGCGCGCGTCCAAATCTGTGCAGAATCGTTGTTTGCGCAATATATGGGGATGTGGCGCGGAGTTTGGTTCCCACGCACGCGATCTGCACAGCCACCCAGCGCGTTCCCAAGCATGCATCTGCGTGCCGTCGGTCATGTCGCCCCGCCATCGCTCCTCATCGCCCGCCGTCGCACTCAAATTAATGTTGGTTGTACATGGCATGCGCACTTGCGCGCATCCGAATCCTTGCAGAATCGTTGTTTGCGCAATCTGTGGAGATGTGGCGCAGAGTTTGGTTCCCACGCACGTGATCTGCACAGCCACCCAGCGCGTTCCCAAGCATGCATCTGCGCGCCGTCGGTCATGTCGCCCCGCCGTCCCACCGTCGCTCCTCATCGCCCGCCGTCGCACTCAAATTAACGATGGTTGTACATGGCATGCGCACTTGCGCGTGTCCAAATCCGTGCAGAATCGTTGTTTGCGCAATCTGTGGAGATGTGGCGTGGAGTTTGGTTCCCACGCACGTGATCTGCACAGCCACCCAGTGCATTCCCAAGCATGCATCTGCGCGCCGTCGCTCATGTCGCCCCGCCGTCGCCAGCCGTCGCTCCTCATCGCCGGCAGTCACACTCAAATTAACGATGGCTGTACATACTATACGCACTTGCGCGCATCCGAATCCTTGCAGAATCGCTATTTGCGCAATCTGTGGGGATGTGGCGCGGAGTTTGGTTCCCACGCACGCGATCTGCACAGCCACCCAGCGCGTTCCCAGGCATGCATCTTGGACCGGCAGCACAGCATACCCGACAAAAAGAAATGCAGGTGTGTTGAGCCAGCCAAAATTTGCCGCTAGGATACTGAGGGAACACTTGAAATGTTCTAGCAGATATCCTGCTGGGGAGATCTCCGGGGCCCTACCCCACGGAGACAGGCGATCGGAGATCGGAAACCCGGATGTAGGTAACGGTTCACCCTTCCCTCTGTGTGAGCATCCCTGCTTGCATCTTTTGCTAGCATAGCTACGTACCTACATACATATATGAGTTCAAATCACACCACACGTGCATCAATCAGACCATTTTCTGACCCAAGAGAACCTGAACCATCTTCTCCTTCACGATCGACTCCCCATCATTGTGAGCTCGAGTCTAGTCCAATATGACCGTCATACGTTTCCCGCCTACCACTACTGTCACATCCTCAACCATATAATGCTTGAAGATGCTGTGCTGATGGATACTTCAGGGTAAATGAGAGTTCGACACACAGACTATACATACGAAGTAGCGCAAATTTGATTGTCATTCGATCACTGCTCATTCTGTGTCAGGTTGGTGGATGTTCAAAAGCTTGCATTCTACATATGCAATGCCATCTGAACCCATAGCTGTGGACCCGAACAGAGGAGACTCACGAAAAAAGAGGGTACTATTCGAAGGTATAGAATCGTGTTGATGATCGCCGAATCCTAGCGTGGGAGGTATGACGATCAAGCGTTCGCCTCCGACCTTCATGCCGACGATACCATTATCAATTGCTGCAAGAGACATCATTGAGGTTCTTAATAAGATAAAGATTGCACCAACCAGGGAGGATGAAACTTTGACCCAAGGTGATCTCCATCTGAACGAAGAATGAGAGCCCTCAGACGCAAATTGAGATTCCAAAGACATACCGGTGTGCCATCCATGCGAGACTGCACAACCGCCTTGTTCGCTAGTTGCAACCGGTACCAGAGTTGTATCTCATCTCCCTGAGTCGCACGTAGATCTCCTGATCTGACTTGGTGATCCTTGATTTCAACAGCTGCAAGGACAGCAGATCGTGTGGCACTGGTGTTCGAGACAGCGCGCGACGTTTTCGGCGTGAAGAACAATTGACGAGATGAGTTCATAGCAGCATTCGGCACGAAGAGAGATGACGCAGCAGATGAATCGGAATCAGTACCCTCGGTGGGTTCACTTAAAATTCTGACTTGCTAAACGGCTCTTAGATAGCCTGCTGCTGAGATAGAGTAAGAGATACTCACTCGACGCTTGCCTCTCGCCGTAGCGGAAAGTGGCGGCATTTCGTCGACAGTGTTGCGCCCAGCTCATTGCGGAGAATTTGATAAGGCAGTGATCGTCGGGGCAGGGGCACTAAAAGTAGGGAATTCCATTCTCTCTCCAACGATAGACTCGACGCATGCATCCGGGGAGGTAAAAGCCAGTGATTCCACCCGAGCACGCTTTCTCCCTCGATGGCTGGTTGAAGAGTCCCGATCCGATGTCTGCAATTGCCTGCCGTGCAATAGTGAGGCAAGTAAATCAAGTACCAGATATATTGTTGTTCTTACCCGCTTTTCGCTGTAGCGTCCATGTTATCCTCCGATGGCACAGCTGTAGCGTCCATGTTATCCTCTGATGGCACAGCTAGAAGACGTCAGGTGGGTGTTGCGGACTCATCGAGTATAAAGGTGTTCACGCACCGATGAAATTACCAGACAGGCATATGCAGCTGAAGAATGCGTAAGAGAGACTCGCTGGTTACCGAGAAGATTCTCACCTCTTGCCTAGAACGTCAAAGGCGACGTGTTCATTCGCCACGAGGGTGAGGCCCAAATGTACATGCTCGACCTTGGTAGATTAGCGCGATCCCATTAGTGCAAATCAAAAGATACCTGATTCGGGACCAATGTGAATAGAATAACGCGATCGCTAGAGTTCGCCGATGAGCTGATGACCGGTGAGACCACGGCAGTCTTCCTGAGGAATGTCATCCAAAGAGATGTCCGAGGATGCATGCTTCCATCATCTGTGCTGGCATTTCCTATCACAAGCGCTGCGTTCGTGATGTATAGGTTGACACGCTCCGGAATGAGGAAGGTACAGCGTCCAGGTCGTAGGGTAGCACCCCTAGGGCATGTAGGTCGTCAGTATATCCACCCAACTGAACAATGTAGACTATAATACCAGGATGAGATCGCATTTTGCGCAGACATGGTGTTGGCTGTGGAGTAGCTCTGAGAGGTAAAAATAAACAGTGAGGACGACTCCCGTGCTATTTATGGTGACAAATGCAGAGACCGTCTCCATCCCACGATCTCCGTCAGAGCGGACAATGCGACATGCGAACCCTGACAGGCAAGCAGATGCTAGATATGGAAGTCATCGGCTCCTCACACTGCCGCTGTGTTCTGCGAGTGCAGATCTTCAGTCCAATTCGAAGGGGAATTGAGTGCACTGATGACTTGCCTTTGTGTATCTATGCAGTCGAATGAATTTCCATGGCGCAGTAATGTTGAAAATACGATAGGTCCAGAAGATGACGCCGAGTGATAATGAGCGATAACGATACGAAGGGCTGCGATTGTACGATGGCACATGATGCATAAGCTATCGAGAGCAATGGCGGGCGAATGCAGCTCGACTTTGGGCTGTGCTGATCGCGTGCAGGCAGTTCCACGTGCGCCGTGCCACAAGGAGACATATCGGCGAGTGCAACGATTCAAATGCACACGAGTGCGTCATGATATGCATAATGATTGTTAGGAGGTCCTACCGACGAGTATGAGAGGTCACTTTGAGAAAACGTATGTTTATCTGTCTTTCGCTATCTGTGTGGGAAGAACTTACAATATCTTTACACTCGAGAACATATTGACCAAATCAACAAAAAGTTGAACGATGCACCTGCAGCACCCCGCATAGACGATGTCTCTACTGAGCATGTCATTCACGCCTTTCGGCATATCGTCATGCTCGAGAGTCAAACGCCGATCGATTTTGGGACATAACCAATCGGCGTTGATGGCCGTATGCAGTCCTCACCCGCGCCAATGTGGTATCTATGCATGAACGTCTGTAACCTTAAAACCTGCAATGACACAGTCGCAACCGATACAGATCGTCAAAGTGGTATTAAGCCTGTATCCGTATACGACTGGCGAATGCTAAGTAGCTTGCATTCTATATGTTTGTCTCACAGTCAGAGTGCAATTCTCAGAATCTCGGCACGCCTACTTACGAAAGAAGAGAGTACTATTGCGTGGGATGGCGTCGTGTTCGCGATCTCCGAATCCTAACATTGGAGGTACCTTGATCAATCGCTCACCTCCAATTTTCATACCAATGATGTCGCTATCAATTGCTGCGAACGACTCTGTCAGCTCTGCGAAGGTTATCAAATACTTGTACCTGTACCAACCAGGCAGGATGAAGCCTTGTCCCAAAGTGATCTTCCCCTTTACGAGCCAAGAATCCAACCATCAGTGTGACAGAAAACGTTCAAGCGCTCATGACGAACCGGTGTTCCTTCCATGCGAGATTGTACTGTGACCTCGTTCGCTAGTTGAAGCTGATACCACATTGAGATTTCATCCCCTCGAGTCGCACATAGCACCCCTGAAGATCTTTGATCACGATTTTACTGAACAGCGGCACAGCCAACTGCACGTAGTGCATATGTCCCTCCACTTGTAGAGTCTTGGTGCTCATAACCGATCGACGAGGTACGCCCGGCAGCGACTTTACCAGAATCGGTGAGGCTGCCACGGATGACTTCGAGCCAGAATCTCCTGTCGCTTCAGTTGGACTTGCAACGCGCTATTCCGTGATCAGAAAAGCATCTTGATCACTCGAGGCACCAGACATTCACAACACGCTTTCCGCCAACTACCATAGGTGATGAAGGCAATGCCCCGAAAGGGCTGTGCCCAAGTTGATCTGAAATTGCCTTCCCGGGCGAAGAGCCTCCCACTAAACTTGTAGAAGGGATGGCATTCACCTCATGATGAGCAGAGAAATGTGGACCATTCAGAGGCACAAATGGCGACTCGACCCTAGCGCACGTTTTGCCTTGAGATTGATGAGAGAATCACTAGCGATGATATGTAGAAACCTCGATGCCGAACGCAATCGTCATGGGAAATACTTACAGGCGAATCGTTTGACTAAGAGTCGACGGAAGCTCCATCGTGCGTTGAGGAGTTATAACTTAGAGGTGAGGTGAGAATCGTGAAATATCGTGGAGGCGTCTGCTTACCGATAAAGTTGCCAGACAAGCAAATACAGCTAACAAGTGGTTACTGAGTCATTCGATTGTCGAAGAACTTCATACCAATGACCGATGACTTCAGACGCGATGGGTTCACTTACTGCGAATGTGATGTCCAGTGTCAGCTGTTCGACCTAAATCGGCATCGAGATCCTGTTCGCGTTGTAAAGCGGTCGATATCATACCTGATTGCAAATCAATGTGAAGGGAATCACACGGCCGCTCTTAACCGGCGGGTCCTGCATTGACACAGGCGCATTGGACTGCTTGAGACGTGACATCCAAAGCGATGTTCAGCCGTGTGCATCGGCTAGTGCACTGGGATCTCCCACCACGAGGGCGGCATTCGTGACACGCAGATTAGCGAGTTCCGGGATGAAGAACGTGGTACAGCCAGGTCACAGAGTAGCTTCCCTAAAGCGCGGTGCCTCAATGACATGTGCATATATCCTGAAATGAATGCACCAAGATGTTATGTCGTGATTTGAAGACATCACTGTAGACATCGAGGCGTTTTTACGTTGATCACAAGGCTGACACGATTTTAAGGTTGTTTGTCTCGATCGATCTTGTTCTCCTCTTCCCACCTTCCCCCTTCTGCTCTATCATATATTTGGGCTCCAGCCCAGGTCCATCCAGTGCTGTACCATGCTCACCATCCGCAGCGTTGGGTTGAACGCATCCGCGAGGACATTACTGGTATTTCACGACCTGGATACAATCGCAAACATCGTGCGTTTTGTGCGCTCCGGTCATCTCAGTGCTGATACTCTTGCAGTCGTTTTCAGACTGTCGCTGGCCATCCCACTGCTGGGGTCAACAATCAGTTCCGGCAGTACGTGTACAATGTGACAAACATGCACATGCTTGCTTCGCCGTCCGAGAGTGACAGTAACATCACTGTCGCGTTCGAGTCTGCCTACTTCTATGGATTGATCGTCACCTCTCTTCCTGGCACAGAGGTTTCACTTATCAGCGACGTGAGTAACAACGCTTCTGGTGCAGCTCATGTTACCAAAAACGGGATGCCAGTTCGGATATGCAAGCTTCCGCCAATACGAACGCAAGATACAGTTTGACTTTGGATGGGATTGGGTGAGGCTTCTCAGTTTGTGAGTATTCGATGCATGGCTAATGAAGCACAGGGTCCAGCGTTCGTCTCCGCTGGCATCTTCAGGCCGGCTTACCTGGTTATGCTCTCGGAAGTTCCGACATTCGAGATGAGTAATGATGCACCCGCCACGCATCCTCTTCTCACATCAAATGGCAGCAGCGTCTTCATCGACCAGACTTCTCTCGAGATCTCGAAGCTCGGGCAGACAGCCCTCGTTCCCCCTGATCAGACGGCTGATTGGCTCGTGAACGTCACTCTCGGTGTGCGCTCCGTCTTGCCAAGCTTCAATCTAACCACTGAGATCGCCATTCCCAAGCTTGATATATCCTCTGGGCCCATTGCCGTCAGCTCGATACTTGCGTCCACTAACGCGCCTACGTTCATGAGCGCGACGATGACGGTGCCGAGGGTGTTCCGCAGCGGTGGTACCCACGCGATCTCGGCACGCCAACGCTGTACAACTTTACAATCACCCTCGCCCTCGGAGACGAGTTCGGAATGTTCCTCGACAGCACGAGCTTCCAACTGCAAAGCGGATTCCGCACAATCGAACTCGCACAGACTGCGTATCTGCACGAAGAGATCGACTTGAGGGGCATTACGCCCGGAGACCAGTGGCACTTTGTCATCAATGGCCGAGCGTTCTATACGAAGGGCACGAACATTATCCCATTCGACCTGTTCTATCCCCGCATTACGACGGAAAAGGTACGCTGGGTACTTGAGAGTACTGTTCTGAGCGGGCAGAACATGGTGCGTCAACAAGTCACTCGCCTCTAAATAGTCTACAAGATGCTGAAAATCTGCAGCTCCGAGTCTGGGGCGGAGGAATCTACCAGCCGTCCGACGAATTGACTGGCGTATACGACTTTTACTCTCTGCGATGAGCTCGGCATCCTCGCATAGTCCGAGATGATTTTCTCGGACGCGACGTACCCGCTGAATGAATTCCTTCTCGTGTCGATCGACCCAGAAGTCACGAGAACGTACGCAGAATCAATAAGCACCCCAGCAACGTGCAATGGGCTGGTGGAAATGAGATCGAAAACATTGTCATTGGCGTCAACGATACATATGCGAATGGCACGCATTACCTGGATGAAGTGAGTATCGCTTGACGAAACCTGTGAGAATGCTAATTGATCGACTGAATGGCATACTTCGTATACATGTTCCAGGACTTCCTGCATGACATCACGTATCAAGAGCAGTCTTCAGTAAGGTTGCGTTTGACCGTCAAGGCATAGCGATACTTACTGGCTCTCAGGTGGCCTACACAGACTGCTTCACAATGAACGGCGTGCTGAGCCTTCAACCGTACGTTCTGTGATTCGAGAACAAGACGCCTGGCTACATCTACGGGAACACTGGTGTGTCAAGTTCTCAGTGCGATCTGTTCATATGCTGACGTACTCTGCTCAGAACGTTACAACTATAATGCATCGCAAGCTTTCAACTACAGTACCTACCCTGTTGCCAGGTGGGCGTTCTACGTACATGAAGCTCGAAAGTATCTCGCCTCATCTAACCAGATTCGTGAATGAGTTTGGGTAGGTCGTCCGTAGCAGGATCCCGAGTAACTATTCTAACGTTGCAACCTAGCTTTCACTCGATGCCGTCTTTCTACACCTGGGAAGAGGCCCTCTTGGAGCCCGAAGACTACTTGTTCAATTCAACAGTAGTTATGTCGCGATATCACCATCCGCCTGCAGGCAGTCTCACATGGCCGAACCTGAATGCTCCGCAGGGTCAAGGCCAAATGACGATGGCAGTCGAGCCCTGGCTGCCTATGCCGGGCACCTTCGACTCTAATCAAATATTCGCGCAGTGGTGCTGGAGCACGCAGGTCTTTCAATCAATGAACATGATCTCCGAAATCGCATGGTACCGCTGCGGTGCGAGGCTCCACGAGAAAACCTCGGTGCGCTCGTGTGGCAGCTGAACGAAATCTGGCAGGCTCCGAGTTGGGCGGCGATTGAATACTCCGGGCGGTGGAAGGTGCTCAACTACGGCATGGCGAGCATCTACTCACCCATGATCGTTTACCCATTCTGGACGTCGAGTAATGAGACCTTGGATATCATGGTCACGAACGACCGATGGTACACCATGAATGGCACGGCGCTGCTGACATGGTATGACTGGGCAGGGAATCAGCTGGAGACAATGATGCACGAGTTCTCGATGCCTTCGCTGAACAATACTGTGCTCATGTCGATGCAAGGATTCGACATGATCTTGCCGGAGGGGGCCCACGTCGACGAACTCATTCATGCTACTCAATGTCACCGCACAGATTGAGGGCCGCACGGCTATCATTGAGTCTTACGTGAGTACACTGTCCGTTGCCATGAGGATGCCATGCATTAACGGAAGTACCTTAATGCAGTACACTCCAACGTCTCTCGCAAATGCAGAGTTGATTGACCCTGAGATAGACATGATTGCAGGGGATAGCCTGACATTCACGCTCTCCGCGAAAGGCGGCGTTGCAGCATATGCATGGCTTGATCATCCCTCAGGCAAGTCTTATATCATCGACCCTATATCATCCACCCTGCATAAGCCTGCGCTGAGTATGGTTCCTTCGCCTCTTGCAGTGCAATTCGTCGTGAACTGTGCACTCTCACAGATCAGAGACCCAGACCGTGCAGACTTCGTTGTGCGTTCGGTGTGGAATGACATCCATGTGTAAGGTATGCGGTAGCCGTGCACGTACTTGTAATCATGAACGGACTTTGCTGTTGAGCATATGGCATGTTTTGCATTAGAAACCTTTTGTATACGATTCACTCGCCTCATAATCAGGCTCGACAACCATCGATTATGACGAGCTCAGCATGTCCAATATTATCAACCTGACCATCATCATCTCCGAGACCGGAACTGTCCAACTCGTCTTTCTGCAGCCCACAAATCCCTTATGGAGACTTCGGAGTCCATTGAGAAAGATGCCCATGTTTTGCAAGTTCTCGTGCTTGACGGTGGTTTCGTGCGTACCATCTTTCTCCGAAATACATGCTCGTGCCTAAATTGCTTATTGTTCGTGATGTCCATGGCGGTAGGGAACGACACTGGAGGACATGTTTCACTGGAACATATCTACACCCCTGTGGTCAGCGAAACCTATCGATGACAACCTGGCAATGATTATCGACACACATCTTGCATTCTTGTGTGCCGGCGCAGATGTCATTCTCACCTCAACGTACTAGGCAGCCCTCCTTGCCGCAGACTAATTACTCATACGGAGATGTAGATACCAATGTGCATTCAGCACATTCGAATGATGCGGCTACGGAAAGAACGACGCTAAATGAATAATGTGCAAGGCTATCAAGCTGGCAGCGGAAGCCTGAAGATGCTTCGTGAACGAACAAGCGGATAACAGAGCGTGGGCGACCGCTAGAAGGATCAACATCACACTATCGTTAGGCCCCTTCGGAGCAGCGCTCTCTCTCGCGGAAGAGTTCGACAGCTTCTATCTCCTCCGTATAATCCGCGAGGATACTCCGAGGATGGAAAGAATTGCAATGCCTTCCAGGACACCCAGGAGGGATGACGACTCGAGGAAGAAGCTATAGATGCGTTGACGGCGTTCCACCTGGAGAGGCTGCACGTGTTTGTGGAGGACAGGCATGTGTGGGACCTGATCGACTTCATCGCATTCGAGACAGTGCCACTCACGAGGGAGGTCGAAGCAAATCACAGGGCTGTAGGGATGCCACAGAACGAAACAGGTGTAGCAGAAATGAAGCCTGGTGGATCGGCACCGTATATACCGGCGGCCGATTCCCCGAAGAGCGCACACAAGGTGGAGAGAGACTCAGGGCATATGACGTCACGGAAGCCACCTTGGGACAGAAAGGGCGCATTCAAACACCACATCCATGGGGTTTAGGCATTAACTGCACAGAACCGAAGCACCTCGGCGGGCTACTGCAGGAGATCATCGAGTGCGATTGACCATATACTCAATGGCAAGCAGAAGCCGTGACTGGTCGTGTACCCAAACAGAGGCGACATGTACGATCCGGCCACGCAGACGTGGTTAACAGAGGAGCCACAAGCGGTGGGCGAGAGTTGGGCACGCAGGTTGTGCGTAATGATCCAGCCAATCTTGAAACAAGAAGTCTGGCACGGACTAATTGTAGGAGGGTGTTGCAAGACAGGCCCTGCAGAAATCGCGGCACTGGCACGGGAGGTGAGAAAAGAGCACCTGGGTATTGGCGAGGCTTAGCAGGAGAGATTGCTGCAGAGTACCTCTTCCTGATCTCAAACAGCCCGAAAGAGTAGCAGGTGGTCACACAACTGGTAGCGTAACAGCACTGCAGTCTGAACCAGAATATCGCCAGCACACTTTGGACAGAGTAGACGACGAAATCGATGGAGGATGAGAAAGTGCTGGACAGAGGAAAACTGCAACGAGTGTGGCGTGTAAATATTGCGGCAAAACGCGAACTTACGATTGAGCGCTGGCGAGGACCACACCGAGCACACCGGAATCGCTGTCTACAAGCTCGCCTACGTCGATTTTCCCGACGTCCGGCTCAAAACAACCTCGTGGTGCGTCTCCTGTTATTCACCCGCCATTTTTGCGCAAAAATGGCGAGATTCGCGCGAGGCGTGCCGTGGATGGCTCTCAAGACCGCCGAATGTTGATGTGCCTCTTTCTCTGTCATGTCATCAAAATTGCCTTCTGTGCTCAACGCCAGCGAGGATGACATAAAGCTCCTGCTGGCTGCGCAATCACACATTGGTAGCAAGAACTGCGACAAGCAGATGTTGCCGTACGTCTGGAAGGCGGAGGTCTGACGGTCAGTAACATTGTACCATTTGTGCGCACCCCGAATTTGACGTTTCCTCAGGAATCCTCAATTGCCACGATGATACGTGCAGCGAAGACAAGCTTTTCCCAGGTCTTGCCGATGTGAAATAGGTGGATTCCAAACGATGTCTGTGTTATCTTTGCTCGCCCGTACGGGCACCGTGCCGTACTCAAATACGCCGCAAATACCGGCATGCAAGCCATCGCGGGCCGTTTCACGCCCGGGTCTTTTACCAATTATATCACCCGCTCATTCAAGGAGCCGCGTCTGATTGTCGTTATGGACCCGCGCGTGGACCACCAGGCAATCCGCGAGGCATCATACGTCAACATCCCCGTCATCGCGTTCTGCGGCACCGATGCGCCGCTGAACTTCGTCGACGTTGCCATTCCAACGAACAACAAGTCACGTCACTCGATCAGTCTGATGTGGTGGCTCCTCGCACGCGAAGTTCTCTGCCTCCGCGGCACGATCCCTCCCACTCCGGAGGGTTGGAACGTCATGGTCGACATGTACTTCTACCGCGATCCCGAGGAGGTCGAGAAGCAGGAGGAGGAGGAGGCTCAGGCGAAGGCCGAGGCATGTCTCAACGAGTGGGAAGTCACATCGGCTCCCGCCGTGGGCGGCATGAACCCTGTGTTGGCCGGCGAGGGTGGTGCGTGTCATAAATTGTATTTCATTTGCGGTTTTGAGCTGATTTTGTGCTATAGGTGCTCTCGACTGGTCTACGGAGCCTACAGGTGCCGGTTCCACCGACTGGGCAGCAAACCCTCCCACTGCTACCAGAGATTGGGGAGCGGACGCTGCCGCTCCGTTGGGCTGAGATGAAGTGGACTATATATGTCTCGTGTTATCCGATGTCGGGCTGTCATGATATTCATTTCTCTTATCGCTTCGCAATGCGTCTGGCTTCCACAGAATAGTGCAGTGTATGCGCATTGTGCACCATGAAACATCATGTATTCATTTCCCTACACGGAAACAAGATCCTCACGACGTCTGCTCTACTCATGTCATGAAAACTTTATGAAAGCCCATGCACAATGCAAACCCAGATCTCTTTCGAATATGCAAGTAAGACATAAATCTCAATGACCATGTTTCCATTTGTGTAAAGATGGAGCACAGTGGGCGGCATGCAAAAGACGGTGTAACAACAATGGCTGAAGGAGCGGGGAGAAAGGATACCGGCTGTACAAGCCGCACGTACATGTTGTGGTAAATTCATAAAAGCTGCCTTGCCACGATCGTCTACACGGCCATATTCGCAGCGTGATTACTAGCCATAGACTTGTAATCTTCCTTGCGGAGTCTAATGGAAGCAAGAATGTCCTCCAAAATTGCTATCTTTACCTCATAGTTTTTTTCCTCCTCTTCCAAATGACGAATGGCAATGTGATACCGGTCGGGACTGAGATCCGGACGTGGGCTGACAATGAGACCGGCAGCTCCTACTTCTGGGTTTGCTTGCAGATCTATTAGATTCGCTGACAGAAAGAAAAGAAGCTTCTCACCAATTTTGACGCGCGTTTCAACCTGTTCATGAGAGGATGCCACCGAAACCATGCTGCAGCCCTTACGAGAGAATTTGCACTCTGTGCACCACCTCTTCCCTTTCAGCGGGACGCAATCTAAGTTCTTCCTGTAGCACCGGGTACACTGCTGTCGCCATCCGCCGTAGGCGGTGTCACCGGAAACGTCAGCAGCGATGACGGAGAGTGCGTTGCTGACCGTGCTGTCAGACTCGAAATCCGCCGGCGCATTTCGCTCGTCGGTGGCAACGAGTGCGTGCTTGGAATCGGCGACGGCGGCGGCGGCATCCTTGCTGCTAGCTACCACTGGTAGGTTGCTGTCTGACGAAGGAGCGGGCTTCGCGTCTTTGCTGGGGGAGATCACAAAAACGTCAGCGAGGTCTAATTTACCGCTCAGTATGGCATCAGCGGCCTACCTGCCGCTAACGTTGAAATCAGGGATGCCCAGGGCAGGCTGTGTCTTCTTGTCCATAGAAACCGCAATCACAGGGGATGACACATTCGTGACGATGGCAGACTTCGCATCGGGGGTGATACGATCTGGCAGGCCACCGGAAGGAACCGCATCATTCTCGACCGGCGCTCTCTCATTCGTCGTGGCCTTGGGCTCCACCACCTCTGTCGCACCGTTCGTCGCAATAGGGGCTCCGGGTGTGTGATCTGGATAGTACGGAGTGAGACGTCTTCGCTTTTTGCAGTTTAAATCGGAACAAGAATCGAGAGCAAGCGGGACGGCGACGTCGACATAGCTCTGCCCATCATTGGTCAATACCTTAGACTTCTCGACATTTGAGTCGTTGCCTGACTCGTCGTCAGACGTGGATGTGGCCGCTTCAGCAGCCGATGGCTGCTCCCCCCTCAGCAAGCGTCTAAGGGATGAGCATTGTTGCTCGTCGATCTCGGCGTTGCCGAACGCAGTGTCTATGGCGTCTCTGATTTTCTGCTCTTCGAAGCGAGTCTTCAGGTCGGGGAGGAACGTCGCAGCCCACACATACCATGCCGGGGTCGCAATGGGACTTATAAACGTCCGCACCTCATTGCACAAATTGATGAACGGCAATCCAACATGGTCTGCTCTGACCTCCTGAATCACTGTTTCCTACAGATCGCGTAAATCGGAAAAAACTGTCAGTGTAATTGCATGCATGCTCACCATTCTTATAATAAAAACCTGGACCCACTCTTTTAATTCCCGGGCTTCAATCTCGTTGGTCGGAAGCTTCTTGGGCTTTTTCTTGACATGCGCTGCGAAATGGTGACAATGTCTGAGCGAGCTCGGCGGAACGGTGACAGGGATTGAATGGGACTGCGACATGACGTTCGAGAGGCTAGACAGTCTAGCCGAGAGCGAAAAAATCTAATTGAACATACGTGAGCAGCGGCTTATATGGCCGAGCGCCAGAATACCTACGAGAAATACCAATAAGATGCAGAATGCAGAATGGGCGGTATTGCCGGCACATTGCCGGCACACCCACGAGCAAGCACGGCGAAGAATGTGACGTGCCATACGAGGAACGAACCGCAGCGAGTGATGCAAACCGAGGATGTTTGTGGAGGTAAGAATAATCACTCGGCCTTCATCTCCGAGGTCTCGGGCGGGGTCTTGCTTCGACATTTCGGCAGTCACGTCTCAGGGACGAGACATCGAGTTCTTATGAGGGACACCTTGTACGTTCGTATTGCAACACTGACCTTCTCTTGCGCTTCTTCCTCGCAGGCTCAGCTTCTTCACTGACCTTCGCTTCTTCATCTTGCTCTCCACCTTCATGCTCCACCCGCATCGACATCTGCAGTGCGCCATCAAGCTCGTCATGACCATGCCAGGCAGACCCATGGGCGGTTGGACACCGAATATCACCCCGTTCATCGTGGCGTTTACGCACTGCTCAGGCCACCGGCGGCGGAAAGCATGCGGGGGAGGACAGAAAGTGATACGGGTGGGAAGCCTCGGGCTCCACGCGGTTGGGCTTCTCCTCGGGCACGCGGACGCAGCTGTACTGTCCCTTCGGCCCTGTGCAGCTTCTGCTCACTGACGATCTTGGAAATGCACGTGTCGAGCCAGGCGCAGTTCTTCTTGTAGCGCTCGCGCCATGATTGCCAGGTGTGGCGTGTTACCCAGGAGTATTCAGGATCGTGGGCCTGTCAAGTAGAGGTATCCACAACGGAGGGCGCTGCCTGGCTAGAAGATATGGGCATGAATGATATCTCGCTCTGAGTACGAACGGGTCCCCAGACAGGCTGCCGAGGTGCACCCACTTGAACCATTCCGAAAGTTGCCTGCCAGTTGTTGGACAACGAGACTGGTTGAAAGTGATCTGACTGAAGGCGGTCTGAGCACAAGCACCAGCCTGGCGCACGATATGCTCCTCGGCAGTCAGAGAGGCCGCAAGAGACACCTGAACAGCTGGCACAGCAGCCACAGCTGGCATCGTGCAGTGACCCTGGGGGCTTCCTTGGGTGTCACTCATCGAAGACTGATACGGTGACTCCACCCTGCGAGCACTGTCACGATCGAGAGGATCGGTGCTCCTGCGCTCATGTCTTTCCCGAACTGCACGGCCCTAATTCCTCAGTTCGAGGTCGATGGTGGCCTCTTCCACCTCTCCTTCAGGAGTTGCCGCTTTGCTGATGTCGGATACGGGGTTCTGCGGTTGAGTCTGCGATTCTGACTTAGTGCCTTCGCCTTGAACATCCTCAAACGATTGATCGAGTTGGTTCGTGCAGCAGCTTCTGTCTCTCTGGCACGTCGCTCGCGTTCGGCTTTCGCAGGTCTCTTGAATCATTTGTGGGGAGGCTTGTTGCCTTCACCGTTCGAGTAGCCGTTGCCCGGTTCTGTCGCTGGCTTAAACACATTGTCAAGGACAGGTTGTGGCGTATGGAGTTTTGAAAGTGATCATGACCAGTTAGAGCGCGGAAAATGCCACACAGACATTCGCGACACACCTGCCCTGCCCAACTTCTTGAGAGACGTGTCCTTCTTGTGCGCTGATGAGGCCCCGATGTAGCGAGCGAGGGTGGACACCGCCTTCAGTGAAACATTCTCCGTATCCTCTGGGACTACCTGTGAGACCGCCTCGGGTTCATTGTGCGCGATGTGTGCGCGAGCCTGTATACGAGGATCGGGGTGTAGTCCGGAGAGCCGGGGTCGGGTAGCGTGAGGTTTACTAGCACCTTGCACGTGGCTGATTCGCGCAACGTTCAACGACTAGCAACATATGGATATGAAGCGTCGAGTTGCATATCAAGAATGGACCTATTATTTGACGTGGTACAATTCCAGCCGTCGCACTCAAATTTGCGATGGTTGTACATGGCATGCGCACTTGCGCACATCCGAATCCTTGCAGAACGGCTGTTTGCGCAATCTGTGGGGCTGTGGCGCGGAGTTTGGTTCCCACGCACGTGATCTGCACAGCCACCCAGCACATTCCCAAGCATGTGGCATCTGCGCGCCATCACATGTCACCCCGCCGTCGCTCTCATCGCCAGCTGCTGCGCTCAGCACTCAGACCTCAATGCCTTCACAATCATTATGCATATCATGACGCACTCATGCGCGTTTGAATCGTTGCACTCGCTGATATGTCTCCTTGTGGCACGGCGCACGTGGAACTGCCTGCACACGATCAGCACAGCCCAAAGTCGAGCTGCATTCACCCGCCATCGCTCTCGATAGCTTATGCATCATGTGCCATCGTACAATTGCAGCCCTTCATATCGTTATCGCTCATTATCACTCGGCGTCATCTTCTGGACCTATCGTATTTTCAACATTACTGCACCATGAAAATTCATTCGACTGCATAGATACACAAAGGCAAGTCATCAGTGCACTCAATTCCCCTTCGAATTGGACTGAAGATCTGCACTCGCAGAACACAGCGGCAGTGTGAGGAGCCGATGACTTCTATATCTAGCATCTGCTTGCCTGTTAGGGTTCGCATGTCGCATTGTCCGCTCTGACGGAGATCGTGGGATGGAGACGGTCTCTGCATTTGCCGCCATAAATAGCACGGGAGTCGTCCTCACTGTTTATTTTTACCTCTCAGAGCTACTCCACAGCCAACACCATGTCTGCGCAAAATGCGATCTCATCCTGGTATTATAGTCTACATTGTTCAGTTGGGTGGATATACTGATGACCTACATGCCCTAGGGGTGCTACCCTACGACCTGGATGCTGTACCTTCCTCATTCCGGAGCGTGTCAACCTATACATCACGAACGCAGCGCTTGTGATAGGAAATGCCAGCACAGATGATGGAAGCATGCATCCTCGGACATCTCTTTGGATGACATTCCTCAGGAAGACTGCCGTGGTCTCACCGGTCATCAGCTCATCGGCGAACTCTAGCGATCGCGTTATTCTATTCACATTGGTCCCGAATCAGGTATCTTTTGATTTGCACTAATGGGATCGCGCTAATCTACCAAGGTCGAGCATGTACATTTGGGCCTCACCCTCGTGGTGAATGAACACGTCGCCTTTGACGTTCTAGGCAAGAGGTGAGAATCTTCTCGGTAACCAGCGAGTCTCTCTTACGCATTCTTCAGCTGCATATGCCTGTCTGGTAATTTCATCGGTGCGTGAACACCTTTATACTCGATGAGTCCGCAACACCCACCTGACGTCTTCTAGCTGTGCCATCGGAGGATAACATGGACGCTACAGCTGTGCCATCGGAGGATAACATGGACGCTACAGTGAAAAGTGGGTAAGAACAACAATATATCTGGTACTTGATTTACTTGCCTCACTATTGCACGGCAGGCAATTGCAGACATCGTATCGGGACTCTTCAACCAGCCATCGAGGGAGAAAGCGTGCTCGGGTGGAATCACTGGCTTTTACCTCCCCGGATGCATGCGTCGAGTCTATCGTTGGAGAGAGAATGGAATTCCCTACTTTTAGTGCCCCTGCCCCGACGATCACTGCCTTATCAAATTCTCCGCAACGAGCTGGGCGCAACACTGTCGACGAAATGCCGCCACTTTCCGCTACGGCGAGAGGCAAGCGTCGAGTGAGTATCTCTTACTCTATCTCAGCAGCAGGCTATCTAAGAGCCGTTTAGCAAGTCAGAATTTTAAGTGAACCCACCGAGGGTACTGATTCCGATTCATCTGCTGCGTCATCTCTCTTCGTGCCGAATGCTGCTATGAACTCATCTCGTCAATTGTTCTTCACGCCAAAAACGTCGCGCGCTGTCTCGAACACCGGTGCCACACGATCTGCTGTCCTTGCAGCTGTTGAAATCAAGGATCACCAAGTCAGATCAGGAGATCTACGTGCGACTCAGGGAGATGAGATACAACTCTGGTACCGGTTGCAACTAGCGAACAAGGCGGTTGTGCAGTCTCGCATGGATGGCACACCGGTATGTCTTTGGAATCTCAATTTGCGTCTGAGGGCTCTCATTCTTCGTTCAGATGGAGATCACCTTGGGTCAAAGTTTCATCCTCCCTGGTTGGTGCAATCTTTATCTTATTAAGAACCTCAATGATGTCTCTTGCAGCAATTGATAATGGTATCGTCGGCATGAAGGTCGGAGGCGAACGCTTGATCGTCATACCTCCCGCGCTAGGATTTGGCGATCATCAACACGATTCTATACCTTCGAATAGTACCCTCTTTTTTCGTGAGTCTCCTCTGTTCGGGTCTGCGGCTATGGGTTCAGATGGCATTGCATATGTAGAATGCAAGCTTTTGAACATCTGCCAACCTGACGTGGAATGAGCAGTGATCGAATGACAATCAAATTTGCGCTACTTCGTATGTATAGTCTGTGTGTCGAACTCTCATTTACCCTGAAGTATCCATCAGCACAGCATCTTCAAGCATTATATGGTTGAGGATGTGACAGTAGTGGTAGGCGGGAAACGTATGACGGTCATATTGGACTAGACTCGAGCTCACAATGATGGGGAGTCGATCGTGAAGGAGAAGATGGTTCAGGTTCTCTTTGGTCAGAAAATGGTCTGATTAATGCGCGTGTGGCATGATTTGAACTCATATATGTATGTACGTACGTAGCTATGCTAGCAAAAGATGCAAGCAGAGATGCTCACACAGAGGGAAGGGTGAACCGTTACCTACATCCGGGTTTCTGATCTCCGATCGCCTGTCTCCGTGGGGTAGGGCCCCGGAGATCTCCCCAGCAGGATATCCGCTAGAACATTTCAAGTGTTCCCTCAGTATCCTAGTGGCAAATTTTGGCTGGCTCAACACACCTGCATCTCTTTTTGTCGGGTATGCTGTGCTGCCGGTCCAACGTCTATCAGCCTTGAGTCTTTAGCGCCGTCTTTAGCGCTTTCACATGAAGCATAGCAGCCAGGCTAATGCGACATAAATGCAGAGGTGCGAATCAAGGATCGCGGCCTGGATATATTTAAGGAGATGGACAACGGCAGCGAAACAGTTACTCAGGATTACGACACCATTGGTGAGCCGTACCTATGTGGCGTTGATAGTAGGTTTGCTGAAGTTAGGATGTGCCATCGATGAAACTCACAGCTTTGAAGCGTGGCACCTCTAAGCTGGCATCGAACTTGATTGTGCAGGACGAGTGAGCAGTAGAATTGGGAAGGTGGCGAGGCAAATATCATTGCCAGCCATTCTTCGCGTGTGCTTAGCTTATCATTGCCATGAACCCTCAGCGAGGGACAACAGTCTCTATGACTTGCCCCCTTCAAGCCACAACCCGTATGTCGTAAGGAACTGGAACGCAACGTGAAACGACAACTTGAAAAGGCTCTCACATTGCTGTTTGTGTATGCTTTGATTCTATGCATGCAAGTGAGTGCGCTTGACAGTCACGCATCAGGCTGCAGCTCACGGGCGAGTATGTGTGTCGTTGTCTGTCATGGTCTCTTTTGCTAATCAATGGCCTAGCGAAAAGTTCGTGAAGCTTCGAACAGATGGAACACCGTCCGGCGTCCACACGTAGCCTGGAATCCGTTTTATGGGCCCGAAAGTTTTGGAGAATTTGGTCAAGCTCGACTTGCGCTTTGCTATCGAGATAGAGCGTTCTGTGCCCAGGAGTTGATCAATGGTGCTGAGTAAGCTCTAGCATGCGAGCTGCGAGTCGCGTGCCCACGCTCCCTGTGCAGTCATTCAAGTGAAGTGCACGCGCGCGAATTGGTCTGTAAATTCTCAGTTGGTTGTGGGCAGGCAGGCACATTCTTTTTGATCAATAGCCGGTCGCGCAACCAGTCTAAGGTACCTCTTATCCTGCTAATCCCGACAGGTCCTAACGGGTCCTGACACCGCTTCTCAGGTTCAGAAAGCGTTCAACGAGGTTTACCAAATCTTCAATGCTGATCAAGCACCATTCATTGTGGCCGACTTCATCCTTGCCACCGGTCAGTTCCAGTTTGATTCTTCAGATAGAATTCTGTTCGGGAAGTCTAGATTGTCGACTTCATTGTCTCATGTCACATTGCTGCATTCTGACTACATATGTTAATGACTTTGTTCCTCGGTCGGCCAAGCTGACCACCTCTTGTGGTTTTAGGCTGTTGTGATGTGAAAGTCAGCCCGGACAAACATCCTGCACAGCCCGGACAGACCTTCCGCATAGCGAGAATAATCTCGTGCAGGTAATCGAGGCTTTTTGCTAGGCAAAAATGGTCTTCTGAGCATGCTGACGACCCATCATTTTAAGTTGTGCTCTGTCATACCCTTTTTCCATTCAATTCATCTGCATGTGCGATGACGGGTGCAATCGCTGATTCGTTCGAATGCCACTGAGTGCGATCACGCAGGCAAACGTTCGTGCATCGTTGCCAACGAATTTTGTTGGCAACGATGCAACTTAGAGCTGCAGTCTAGGAACCGGGTTCACCGTTTGCTAGTCAGGTGGACCTGCCAATGAGATCGAAAGCACTGAGTGCGTTGCGGCCACTGAGCCTGCATCTAGTGATCTGTGCATCTGTGCCCATCCTTCGCCTTCCCACTTGTCTTCACGCATTTGGCGGATCGCAGCGACGTGTCAAAAGTGTCTTACCTTCAATAGAGATACTCCTGTATCTCCACGAGCCGTCGCCGGAGCATCCTGACCTCACGGATCTGCTCCTCGTCCTGCGATGACTGTGTTTGCAGCACAGTCGCGATCACGAGCAGCCGCGCATTCTTCTGCGTAAGCTTTGTAACGTGGTCGAACGTAGAGATCATCAACACCCTCACGGAGATGCAGCAGAGGCGATGTCACTCATACTTCCATATCCTCTGCCAAAAAAGGTCACCGCATGAACCTTAGAAGAGACGCGCGTTGACGACGCACGCCTCACGCTTCTCGTCAATGACATGTAAGAGGGGAGTGGGGGGCGGTCGGGGGATGGGGGGAGGGGAACGAAGTCTTTCGTCAACATTGTAAATTTGTTGCACGGTCTACTCGGTTGAGCTCGCCGTGCTCATCGAACGTGCGCTTCCCTGGTAGAATTTGACGTGAAGCTGGGGCTGATTGAAATGTTCGGGTGCTTGTGGCCGAGGAAAAGTGAGCGAGGGTGAGGGCGTGAAAAAGACGCCAGGAGAAATGTCGGATCGGGCTGGGCACGTCGCAGAAAGGCATGGACCTAAAGTCGATTAATCAGCTAAGGAGGACTTGAGATTGGTTGGTCATGGCAAAGCATTGATACTCTGCTGCGACTGAGACGACGGTGAGCACACCTACTTCCTGGCGTCGTACGGATATCCAATACAGACTCTCACTAGGCAAACTTCTCCTGAGCTGCATAAACAAGTGCATCTGCAACAATCTCTGAAGTCACCCCCTAAGTGCCATCACAGAGGACTCGTCCGTAATGTGCTTGCGCTACAAGTCAAAATTCGCGCTCGATGACGAACATCGTGATGCTATCAGTGCGATTGTCTTTAGCCCAGATGGTCGCTCGCTCGCAAGTAGCAGTGATGATGGTAAAGTTGTAATCTGGTCACTGTTGTCTGGGAGGGTTCTGCATCGTATTATGGCAAAATCTGCTATATCGTGCTTGGTGTGGCCGTTATGTTCCAGCTCGATAATGGCAGGTGCTGCGAAGGAACACTGACAATGTTCACCTTGGATGAGGTGTGCTTGTGCTAATAAATTTTTGCTTGTCATTATACTTAGTGTGATACAACTCGTAGACTATGGTAACCGCCTCGGGATTTCTAGCACATCATGAAGGGCCTGTTGAATTGCTCTCTGTGAGCTGCAATAAAACGGTGGGCATCTTGTCACCGTGACTTTGATCTTGGCATATCTCAGCATACTTCAATAGGGCCCTGACATTATGGACATAAATTCATGCTCAGATCATTTGCTGGCATCTGCAGCTGGTAATACAGTGAAAATATGGAACTGGAGTCACGAGGGTGAGTAGTCCAAAGCCCACTGTTTTCCATAAAGTTTTCCACCATCTGCATACTGAGTTTAACATTATACAATGACAAGATGATTGTGTAATTGCTTATCCGTGATCATGACAGCTAAATTTTGGCGCTACTATCATACCATCGATTATCCACAAAATGTTTCATATTCAACATTCACTGTTGAGGTCACTGGAGTTCAATGGCTTGCATATCCTCAAGATGATTGTCTTGCAGTCTCCTATCTGCATCATGGCATAATGTATGAGCATATTTTCATTGCATCATAAATTTGAACTGAGACAAACAGATGCTGGAAAATTCATAATGACATATTTTCTGTCCTATGGGCTATACATATGCCACTATGGTGTGTATTGTTTATATGGCTCATATGTTTGGAAGCACACACTTATATGTATATATATATAAACATGGCAATAGTGGATCTTTCACCATATCATCAGACAATACTCTGGTTGCAGTCTCAAAAATCTTTGATGGACATGATATCTATAGGATATCATCTGGACTACGAGAGATGACTATTAGAGGAAGTGATGAACAGCCAGATAGAATTCTACCTGTCACTTTTCATCATGGACAGCTGCTACTGGCTGGCAGTATGACTGGAAAAGTGCATCTATATAGCTCAGAGGATGGCAAGCGTCTTCAAACAGTCAAATTTAAAGGTGAGCCACACTTTGACTATGCCTTAGACAAATTCACTTATGTTATATATACTTTACAGGTTCTGTCCCAGTACAGACTGTTTCAGTATGAAGCCCACTAGTATTTTCATTGAGATTACTGACCATATAAACCAGACTTTTCATTCAACACAAGATGATCAATATTTGATTGCAGCAGGAACCAGTGTTGTAAGATCAGCTAATTGTGTCAAAGTTTGGGTAGCAATCACAATGGAGGAATAAATGCAGGACATGATAAGGGTCTCTGCCTATGTATTGGAGACTCAAGATTGAGGCAAATGCACTAATGACATGCATATATTTTCTTGTGCAAATGTCCAGTGTCCAATTTTTATGGAGGAATATATGCGACAATGGGTGAAATACAAACATCATTGAAAACATGGATCATGTGTACTTGACTCGAGATATAAATGCCCAGAAATCTCAAGTAGGGGCTTCGATACATCTCAGCCTCTTACCTGGCATCGACACCCTCCAAAATCGACATCTAGCAAGTCATAAGTGCAATATTGATCATGATCATATAGGTTCTTGAGCTTTACATCTGATCCATGATGCAGAATGACACATTCACTTATGCATCTGCTGTGAATTTGTCCAGGTACTGAATTAGGGCTCACTGAAAGGAACACAATAACTCTTGCCAAGCGGTCAAAATGATCTATCTTTCAAATCCATGAAAAGAAGATATAATGATATAGTGTGCTAGATGTGTGTGTCATTGACACCTTCAGACTGGAACAGTTCATTTCACAACTCTCGCATTTCATGGTCTCATCAAACGGTGCCCCACCTGCTCTTTGCCACTCAAAATCCACTTATCTTGCATTTTTTTCTGACAGAACACCATGCATCTCGCTTGAAATTGAATGAAACTATTTGATGAGACTGTGAAAAATGAGCAATTAACATGATCGTTCCTCTGCGAGATGCCTTCCAAGGCACCATACTAATGCCAGTGGCCATGAATCTTAACATGTTATGGTGGCATTCCTTACATACCTCAATCTGGTATATACATTGGGAATACACAACACAACAACATCAGAAAGAAGCTTAAGCACTGACTGTGACATTCTGGATGCCCTTGAGGTGGTCCTGCCTGTACGAGTTACATCTGGTGTCCCTGCTGCAATTGTACGCCCTCCACTTGGGCTCATCCTGTTATAAAATGATTAATCAAACGGTGTTGACAGACAGCATGAGAAGACAGACCTTGAAGAGACACACGGTGCGAGACTTGAGACTTGTTATCCTTGTCAATGGAGAAGCGGTGGTGGATACTGGCGGGCAGCACGATCATGCCTCCTGCAGAGAGGTGGAGGTGGATCCACACATCCATTGTGTACTCTATGGTGAGCGATCAACTTGTGAGCCAGTATGCCCATTTAGCATGTCGCGATGGCACGTAGCATCGATGTCGAAGAAGCTGCTGACCTAGACAATGTACCTGATCCACTCATTCTCATGGATATGCCTGCACGGTGCACTACTAGTCTGACCGAACATATGGCAGGAGCTCTGGATCGGGTGCATGCTCGTGGTAGAACTGCTTCAGCATCACCTCAAAGTCCTCATTCATGCCCTCCTTGGTGACGGCACTCATTGGCGATTGCGTTCACCTTGCCTTCCCACTCACCGCTCACGTCGGTGAGGATGGATCATCACAACACAACACACAGAGCTTGTCGAGTGTCGCATCATCGATGACATTGCCCGAGTTGTGCAAGAGATGCTGCTCTGCGGGGAGCTCATCCATATACCAGGCATGCATGGTGCGAATATGAATGTGCTGCAATGATTGAGATGCTGAGATGCGAGAATGACCGGAGGCTTAAGTAGGCATGGCAGTGCATTCGTCCTGGTCATCATGAGGTGTGTCCGTAATACTTATTTCTCCATCACAGCCATCCTGTTGCATGGCATTTTGACTGCTGCACCAGCAGCGCATGCTGGTTGTCATCGCAAGACAGACATGCTTGGGGAGTAATCATGCAAACCCATGAACTGCAGCCCACCGCTGATCAGTTCCTGCACAATCGTGAATGTGGAACCGCACCCACTGGGTCCGGGTTCCGCTTATGCTTCAGCACATCGACATGCATCATCGTTAGAAACTGATGCATGGGCAACCACTCTCCCTCCTTGATTGCACCATTCCAGTCAGTGCTGCCAGCCTGGGTAAAGCTTCGTCCTTCATACAGCATCCTGGTGATTGCCATCATCAGTATCGTAGTCAGGAAGTAGTAGCAAGAGCCTAGGATGTCTGAGATCAGGAATTCAGTGCTGCGGGTGAGCGAGAATGCAATCATCTGGATGCCGCAGTCACCTGCAATGGGTCAGAGGGAGAGACTTGAAGATTCCTCATGCATCTGCTTGATTCTTCCACCTATCTGACTCATTACCTAGGAGGATGGCTGTGAAGGCATTGAGGTCTGAGTGCAGCAGCTGGTGATGAGGAGCAACGGTGCACTGCTGGTGGCTGTGCAGATTGCATGCGTGAGAACCAAACTCCATGCCACAGTGACACAGATTGCGCAAACCACAATTCTGCAAGAATTTGAATGGGTGCAAGTGCACATACCATGTACAACCATCATTAATTCGAGTGTGATGGCTGGCGATGAGGAGTGACTAGTGATGTTCAGGGCCCGGCTCAGCCTGAAAGCCTGGGCTTGGGCTCAGCTTCAGCAGGCTCAGGCTTGTCAAAATTGCAAGTCAGGTCCTCTGCCAGGGCTCGGGCTCAGCTCAGGCTCAGCCCCGGGCTTGTTGCAAGTCACTGTCTATGTTCGATTGATGAAGTAAATATGTAACTAATCTACATGGCATTGTCCTTCAACCATGCCAGATCATCCAGCCAGCAAAAGTGTGGGGGATTGGTGTTGAAGATTATCTGGCTGGAGTAGAGGATATCTTGTTCAGGTGAGAGGACTTAATATATTCACGCTGTAGCTACTCAGTATATATACATGTGGGATAGTATCCTGTATACTGGTCGTAGAACCTCTGGTATCTACAGCCACATCTTCTTACATAGATGTGTAATATCCTTGACTACTTACATGTGACCTGTGGCAACAAGTATTGTCCAATAGAATATTACATAGTGGCAATCGTCCATATTGTATGATCCTAGAGATTTATACGATTGGCTCCTTGTCAGTATGGCAATACTAGATGTCTCTGGATTCTTCTATGAGATTCTATGACATTCTATGTCCATGACATGACTGATGCATTGTGTCATGCTGATCGATCGGTGATGATCATTTCAAAAATACAAGATTCCTTCAACACCCTCTCTTGATCGAATAATCGAATCAAGCATGAGTGAGATTGATATAGCGAGAAAGCTTTTCTACCCGTAAGTAACCAAGATTTTTGGTAAGCAAATCTGCATATTGTTCCTTAGTGGGAACATGATAGAGAGTGATAGTCCCTCTCTCAATCTCATGGCATACACGATAATATCGTAAGTTGATGTGTTTTGTTCTACGGTCATGAGCTGGATTGACAGCCAGAAATATTACACCTTGGTTATCAACACACAATGGGAGTGGCATCCCGTTAGAGAATCCTAGCTCAGACTCAAATGAATGAAGCCATATTGCCTGCTTAGAACAATTAGACAGTGCAATGTATTCAGCTTCTGTGGATGACAGTGCCACAGTGGATTGTCTCCTTGTGTCCCAACACACCAGTCCTTCAGCCATCAGGAATATGTATGCAGATGTTGAACGTCTGTCATCCCTGTTTTTGACCCAGTCTAAATCAGAGTAACCGATTAGATCAGCATTGGATGTTCCGAAATACATGAGTGCATATGACTCAGTATGGCTAAGATAATGTAGGATCCACATTGCATATTTCATGTATTCCTCTGTGGGGTGGTTGTTGAAATGTGATAGCCTGTTAACTGCATTGGCTATATCTGGTCGTGTACCAAGGGCAATCCACAGTAATGCACCAATGACTGATTGATACTGATGCCTTAGTTGCAAATCAAGCCGATGAGATTCACTGGCTTTCTTCAACTTGATTTCAGATGGAAGTGGGGACCATTTGGCAGCACAGTTTTTCATGTTGAACCAGTCAAGCATTTCCAGAATATATTCTGATTGGTCAATCTGGATGATGCGAGTGTAGCGATCACGTTGGATCCTCATTTCTAAGAAGTTAGAAACAGGTCCAAGATGCTTAATCTCAAAGGATTTTGATAATCCTTTGACAAAGGTTCTGATGTGCTTCATGTTACTGCCCATTGAGAGAATATCATCAACATAAACAATTAAAACCATTAACTTCCCCTTGTGTCGATGATTAATATATACACTGGCATCAGAGTCAATGCATTTGAAATCTAGTTTCAACAAGCGGGTATGTAATTTTTGTTCCACTGTCTGCCAGCTTGTTTCAAGCCATAAATCACCTTTTTGAGATGGCAGACTTTATCTTCCATCCCGAGTATTACAAAACCTTCAGGTTGTTCCATATATATTTCTTCCTCCAGTTTGCCATATAGAAAGGTGATCTTTACATCAAGGGCCTCTACCTCCCAATCATGTAAAGCTGCATGTGCTAAGAGAAGTCATAGTGATTTGAAGCGTGAAACTGGGGAGAATATCTCATCATAATTTATGCCAGCTTGCTGCTTAAAGCCTTTGGTGATGAGTCATGCTTTATATCGTGCACCAGGTTTTACCACATATACCTAATGGCAAGAGATTGCTTTCTGACCCTGAGGAAGTTCAACGAATTCCCATGTGCCATTTGCCATTTGTGATGTGATCTCATCCTTCATGGCATCTTTCCAGTGGTCTCGATCAGATCGAGCCATAGCCTGTTTATATGAAGCAGGACTGAGACCATAAGAAGGATCAGCAGAAAGAATGAACTCTGCTGGGAGTTGGTCTAGGAGATGCATATGCATGACAGCTTTCTCTAAAGCTAACTTTTCACTATCAGATAGTTCAAGTTTGTCAAGATGAGCTGTGAGGTCATCAAGGTCACGCTCGATGTAAACTGGGTGTTGATCACCATAGGCATTGTTGGGTTTGAGTTTATCCTGTGAGACTCACTTTGAGCAGCAAACATTTGTGTAAGGTAAGTCCACTGTAGGATTATAGAAAGGTAATGGAACATCGCCGAGAGCTGGGTGTCTCGGAGGTTCATCAAGTGGATCATCATCATTGTAACGATGTGTCACGGCACCGCCGGACAAGAGATCAAAAAGACTGAAAAGGAATGGTCACGTGGAATGTGCCGCCCTGATCCCCCTGATCCCGAATGATCCCCCTAATCCCTTATGTGGCTTGAGAGCCTAACACTTACTTGTTGGTGAAGCAAGCATATGGATGGATGAGAGATATATGCAGGAGCTTGGAAAGCTCAGTGGGTGCTACAGTAGTAGACGAGGAGAAACAATCTGAGGTTTCATTCTCTACATGCTGGTCTTATATACACGTACAGCGGGCTATCTTACCTAAGCTACCTATCTACGGGTATCAGCTAATGGCCATACATGAAACAATGAAATGTCCGAAAGTAGAACAATAAGTGGAAAGATCGATGGCTGCTGTGTGAGCATCATGCCTATCTTGGATTCCCTTTGTTCTCCGATGTGAACATCATGCCTATCTGGGCTTCTGGCTAAACTAATAGGAAGTGGAAGGCCGATGCCTAACAATAGTCCTTGTTTCCTTTGTTCTCAAATGGGTGCCTCTATTGTATCCTGGAATAGACAGGTCCGACCGTATCATCCATGGGTCTGGACCATAACATGTGATGTGGACTATCACCTGATCCCTACACATCACGTCTGTGGCTGAGTGGCATGGGATATTGGTGAAGCACGTGATCTGTGGTGTGAGAAAAGTCACGTGTGGACTTTGTGGTGAAAATCTGTGACACTACCCCCCTCTCAAGGCTCATCGTCTCGTAGAGCCAATTTCTTTATCCCCTCGTGCATGTCTGTTCTTTAGTGGTCCCTTGTTGTCAACTGGTATGCCTTCGATGTACGCTTCAAATACTATCTGAGCAATTTGATTGCCAACGGCAATGTTGAAAGGATAGTCCGAATGGTTAATCATGACGACTTTAAGTTCTCCGGTATAGTCTGGGTCGACAACGCCAGCTCCAATATCAATGCTCCATCATGCAGAAAGGCCACTTCATGGGGCAATTCTAGTGTATGTGCCAACCGGAGGTTCAATTGCAATTCTGGTTCCTACTACTGTTCGCGAATGGGGGAGGATTGTATAAGTTTCGGCAGCATAGATATCCCATCCTGCTGCATTCTTGGATCCCCTGGTAGGAGCTTTCGCATTTTCCGTCATCCTGTGGTAGACAAAGTAGTCATCATCATCTTGATCTGTGAGACTTATCCTATGTGTGGACTTTGGGGCTAATTCATACGAGGATAATTTGAAGTGTTTTCCGCCATACGTGACAACCCTGATTGGTGCTTTCGGAGCATCTGGGTGTTGTTGGTGGAATTCTTGAAGTAACTTGTTGGCGTTGGTAAGATTTGTTCGCGGCTCCCATGTGTCGTTGGAATGGTCATAGCCTTTCCAGTTGATGAGGTACTGAACCCTTCCCCTTACGACC